AATATTTTCTTTAATTTAGATTTTTAATTTTTATTGCAGTCGCAGTAGCTCTCAAGTTGAGACGATTAGCATCAAAATATTGCATCGCAACAACTCGATAAAGTTTATGATTCAATTTTATGATTCTTATAGTAACGTGCGTGTGAAAATATTCAAACTGAAAAAATAGTTCTCACACTGATAACGCGAAAGCATCAAATTACAACAAATTTTAATGAAAAACAAAACGTGTGTATAAGAAACTGATTTCTTTAAGTTAACAAATACATACTTTTCTCTGGATGTACTTTTAAGAGAATATTGTGCAAATATTTTTGAAATATTTGAAACTTAAAAAATATTTTGTCCATTTGAACGTTGTTTAGAGAATGTCACGTATTTTCATTTAAAGAAAATGAAATAATTAACACACAGAAATACACCAAAATATTCTTAGTTTATTATTATTTAATAAAAGATAACATCACTGATTCTCGATGATAACTCAATAAAAAGCGTGATAACTTAGAAAAGGGTGACCACACTTTTAATAGAGTGATAACTTACAAGAGAATGATAACTTTGTTAGAGAATAACCTTTTTAGACAATGATAACTTTGTTAGAGAATAACTCTTTTAGAGAATAACCGTTTTTGAGAATGATATCTTTGAGAAAATGATAACACTCTGGAAGGTCGATAAGAGTCCCTTGCAGGGATAGCTCAACTCATAAGGGCCTGCAAGGAAGAGAATGAATGAGCTTTGATAAGAGACTTTACACAAGGACTTATCCAGAATGTTATCCACCTTTTTAAGAGAGTAGCTCTAAATGAATATGATATAGACTAACAAATACTTTAAAAATTAACACTTTTGCGAGTTCTTGACGAAAGCGTAGGCAAAAGCGAACTAACTATCCCATTTGAGCAAAAAGGGCCTTATCCTTTACCCGATGTACCGGTACCAGAAAAAGAGGGGAGAAAAGCAATGTTTTTCTTTAAGATTTCACTTTTCATGTTTTTGGAAAAGTCTTTTTAGTCAAAAACTAATAAGATTCGCTAGCCAGGGTTGAGCGCAGGCAATGTCATAAAAACAGGGTGGACTCGACTCTGGGACTTTCATATAATAAAACATTTTTGGTAACTTTTACTACTTTCGGAGTCAATTTTGCCAAGTTCGATGTAAACTTTTACTACGTTCAAAGAACATATATTTGTAAAAATTAGTAAAATTTACCTTGAACGTAGCAAAATTTACTCCGAAAGTAGTAAAAGTTACCAGAAATGTTTTACTATAAAAGTAGTAAGTTACTTTATAGTCAATTTTGAATAAAAAATTGACTATTTTAATGCATTTGTCCAAAACATGTCTGACATTTATATAAGGATATCTCGCCAACCAAATAAGATTTTTAAATTTTTTTTTCGTCTTAAATAATTAAAGTTGAGGTATAAAAGATGACGCATCTATATATTTTTCAAATGTTGACTGCCATTTTTAAAAAATATGCAGAAGTTTAAAAAATGATCAAAAAAATTTTCATTTTTTCTTTAAATTTGTCGACTGCTAACATCTTTATATAATTTATTAAAATTTTTCGAATGTTTATCATTTAACGTAGAATATTATAAGCTTTCGAATAGTATATATGGGTGATTTTTCTGAAAGTACTACTTTTGAACTTCAATTATTTTATTTTTTTTTAAATTATATGATTTTTTCCTATTGAAACTATACTTCATTTCATACTCAAGAATAAGATTTTTGAGTTGCGTACACGGAAAGAAAATTATATTAAATTTTGTAAAAGTGCTTCTCAATTTAGGGAAAAAATGCGACAAGGCGAAATTTTGGTATCAAAAATAATACTAAACAGTGAAAGGAATAATATGAAATTTAGTATAATAATATCAAATATCAAGAATTTTAATCTAACTTTGCTAAATTTCAAATTATTTCTTTCACTGTTTAGTATTTTTGATACCAAAATTTCGGTTTGGTGCACTTTTTCCTTAAACTGTAAAAACTTTTACAAAATATATATGATATGTGTTAATATATGTAATAAATTTTCTCTCCGTGTAAAATTGATTAATAAAAATATTAAATTTTTCCTTCTTTGAAGAAGATTGACTTTATTGCTCCATTAGATTAGTTTTATTTGATTTAATTCGCAAGTTTTTCTATTAAAAATACACGCTAATATCGTTCACGTAATCCAAAATAAAACTTAAAAAATAATAATTTGTATATTTTAATACCAAATATATTCAGTTCGATTAAAATATAAATTTATAGTTAAAGTATCTGATTTAATGGTTATTTGGGTTAATTTTTTCAAAATAATGCAGGTAAATACTAAAAACAAAAGAAAAACTAGCACATTTCAAGGAAAAGGCTTCGGAGATGAAAAATACATTTTTTTCACATTTATTCACATATGGATACAATTAAAAGAATAGAAATATTGATACAAATGTATAAATATTTTTTTATGAATATCTATTTGAAGAAAAATCAACATTTACATAATATATAAATGCTATTCAAAAGACAAACTTCCAACCAGACATTTAGTCTCCCATTTAGAAGACAATGTAAAAAGAATGTTACTTCGAGATAAACAATTTCCGCTTTTTGTATATACACGAAGATATATTAATCGATAGAATCTAAATATTTCTCGTCCGAACAATAATTAACATAAATGATCGTATAAAGTAGCAGTACAGTAATCTGGACGTGAGAGAATATACAGCTATGCGCGTCCACGGCTTATCAATTCTCAGAAACAAAAAGTATACTATACATACTGGACTGCAAGTGTTATGTATAATAGTAAGCTGAATTCTTGACTTTTTAAGAAGAGTGATGCTCCCTGCCGTGTAATTTGTGTGCGCGCGATGAATAGCGATGTAGTAAACGGATTACGTGTACATAATCAGAGGCGCGTGCAGAGCACACTTCTTTTCTCCAGATCATTTTTCATGTATATCCCCTCTCCTTCCACTTTTGCTCACCGACATCTCAGTTCACTATACACAATAATATATCCATCTCGCTAAAGATAAACTCCTATACTTAATTTTACTTTGACTTGAGAATTCGTTATGTGCTCCTTTTACCAAAACATTTATGTATACTCCCAAATATAAATTAATCAACTATCTGCAAATTTCTATCTATCTTGAATTTCACATAATTCTTTTAATTTTGTTGAATGAGTTAACTTAATTGAATAATTTTCACGTAATATAAATCAAATTAATCATCACTCGTTTATGAAACAAAAATAACTTTAAAAAATTCATTTCACAACAAAATTTTATTATTATTTTTAAAGATAATTGAAATTTTGAAAAGAATTTTTAAATTTTCCCTGACCAATTCTTTAATTTCCCTGAATTCCCTGACCTGTGGCAACCCTGATTTGGATTTTACTCTGAAAATATAGAATGCCGATCTAATTTTCTTCTACCTATCACAGTGCAACAGCATATTTATTTCTGGGATCGCATAGAGTGATTTTTATAGGTTTTTTGATGCCGAACGCGAATCCGTAATCAGAATTGTTCTATCACCCTAGATTTTTGACAAATTTGACCTTGAAAATTGAAAAAAGGCCGTATTTGGGGTACTTTTTGGTTTTCTATCAGGGTGTAAAAATTTTTCCTAGGGTTTTTATTATATGCGTACGAAAGCCCATATCCTCCTTAACAATTTCCAATTTGGACCTTTTAAAAATATCTATTTTTCGATGAGTTATCTTTGTTTGAAGTTCGCGTCGCATCGTAAAATCAGCAAAAATGCCGTTTTTGAGGTATTTTTTTGTTTTTTATCAGGGAACAAAAATTTTTCCTAGGGTTTCCATTATATGCGTACGAAAGCTCATATCCTTCTCAACAATCTCCAATTTTGACATTTTAAAAATATCTATTTTTCGATGAGCTATCCTTGTTTGAAGTTCGCATCGTAACGTCAAATGGGATAACAGTGAGAGAAATATTAACATAATATTAATATTATTAATATTAACCCATTAAATCTCAAGCAGAAACCAATGATTCATTAAAGAAATTATTACATTCTTAGGAAAATCAAAAATAAATGAACCATTGTTTTTTTGTTTATCAACAAAAACAAAGATAACTCATCGAAAAATAGATATTTTTAAAATGTTCAAATTGGAGATTGTTGAGGAGGATGTGAGCTTTCGTACGCATATCATGAAAACCCTAGAAAAAATTTTTGTACCCTGATAAAAAACCAAAAAGTATCCCAAAAACGTCCTTTTTCAATTTTCAAAGTCAAATTTCTCGAAAACCTATAGGATGATGGAACAATTCTGATTACGGATTCGCATTCAGCATCAAAAAACCTATAAAAATCACCCTATGCGATCCCAGAAATAATAAAAAAAGTGAAATTCTGTTGCACTGTGCTATAAAGATGTTACATTAAAAATGGCTAAAATTCAGTAATGCAAATCTTTACTAAATTAAATTATCAAAGGACTACATTTTACAAAAGAATTGAGAGGGTATCGATTTTTCAATCGTAAAGAGGAGAAAATCTTGATCTTGATTAAAATATAAAAAAAACCGGTTTTAATGATACGAAATATTATTTTTTGTTTCTGATGATTCACAAATATAAAGATTTTTAAAATCGTGAGAAGATTGATATTCACGGAGCAAATATCTGTTTCTTTATCTCGTGTCAAGGTGAAAAACGAAGTCACTCGCGACTAGTTATATATATATATCTGTATAGAACAAATTGTTTTAGTGACCTTGATTCCGGTCAATGCATTCTAATTGCTCTCGCACAGATTATTGCACGTGTCATCTAGACTAAAATTAAAAACTTCGAAATTTATTTATTTTTCTTACCAATTTTCTCTAATTCTATATAGTTATTTACTAACATTTTTATCATAATGATGAAAGTATTTTTGTTATTAAACAATAATCATTGTTTTGCTATTCAAATTAATAATTAATTTCTCTATTATATTGCAGAAAAATTCGGACAACTGCTTAAAATATAAGCAAATGGAAGAGGTGCACATTGATATTCTCGAGAAATATAAAAAGGATATTATCGACAATGTTCATGTATCTGATGAAATAATTAAACCACTTTTGAATGAATGCATTCTTAAAACTGAAGATGTTGATGATATCAACAAAACAAATAACAGCAACGAAAAAGTTTCTCAATTACTAGATATTCTTCCACGGTATAATTAAGAACAAATTAAAATTAAATGTGCATTAAAGCTTTTTTTAAACTCAAAATTAGATAATAATACAGGCTTCATAGTGCCCCTAAAAAGTATTTTAGGGGAAATAGGGGACTGAAAATTAAAAAATAGGGGACATTTAGAGGACCATAAAAACTGGTTAAATAAAGATAAAAATATAATTTATTTATACAGGGTTGCCACAAAAATTTAAATTTATTTTTCCCTGACTTTTCCCTGATTTCCAAACACAATTTTGACTTTTTCCCTGACCCTAAAGAATATTCTGATTCACTCTAAAAATCATTAAATACTTAAAAAAAATGTTCTATTAAATTTATTTACAAATTTATTCAAAAATAAAATTATTCGAAAACATTAATAGTTTTATTTAAAATGAGGCCTTGGATCCAATAACTCGCCCGACGCTCGAAGGCACGCGCCAATACCAGTCGGGTAGCAGTGAGTGGCCCAGAGGCGCTCACTGCTCACTGACTGGCAGTTGCGCGTTCCTCCGAGCGTCGGGCGAGTTATTGGATCCAAGGCCTCAAATAAATATTTAATCATTTTTTTTTTCATTGGAATTAAGATGTTCAAAAATTTCAAATTCAAATCTTTTCAAATTGAACAACTCATAAGAATATTATTCTAAAACATAAAGATGCCCGACTGACAAAATCATTATTTTATTATTATATGAATATTGTTACTGTAATGTCTTCAATTATTTGTATCATTTCAATTCAATCAAGATTTTCTAGAATTTTTAACTAAAATTCTATTTTAAATCAACAACATAATATTATTCAATTTAACTTTTTCAAAAAAGTTAATTCTACAGAATTGTTAGTTAAAAGTACGAAAAATAATAATTTAATTATATGAGAAATCAATTATTTAAATATAAAAGTAAATAATATTTAATTTTTTTAAAATTTAATTTTAACGAAGAATTGTATTAACACAGAGTAAATCGATTATTTTTAATAATTTTTGAAAAAGTTCTATCTTTGACAATTTTCAAATCCATTTGTTTACAATATTCAATTTTACGAAATTTCAATTGTTTGTAAATTCTTCAATTTAAATATATATTAGAAAATAAAAACTTCAAATAATATTAAAAAAAATCAGCAGTTAAACTTTCTCAAGAAAAAATTAATTCCACAGAATTGTTAGTTAAAAATATGAAAAATTCAAATTTTCAAAGATTTTAATCTGAAATCTTTTCAAAATTCAATTATTTTTAAAAATTATGCTCTAATGCTTTTAATAATATTCAATTATAATCTAGAATTTTAACTGAAATCCATTTTTAAATTAATTTTTATTAGAAAATTCGAACAGAATTCAATTATTTAAATAAGAGTCATTCCATTATATTTCGACTGAAGTCGTTGCCGACTAATTTTAAAAAATTGTAATATTTTGCAAGAATGATTTTAAAGATATTAGGATCACCGAACAAAAATAATTTTTTAAATATTTTTTATATTTATTGTAAAATAAGCATGTAAAGTATATGAAGTCGTAAAAACTATTACATTTTCATCTATTAGAAAATATTAAAGAAAACACATAATTTACTATAAAAACGTAAAAAAAAATGATTAGAATTTATTAAGAATGAATTATTTTATTATTATAAATTGATAGAAACAATTAAGGACTTCCGGTTGAGACTTTACGCGAGCAATACGTGTCGGGTAACCGCGGACTGAAAAAGTTGTTTCTTTGATAGAAACAATTATTAATAAGAAATATTAAATAAAAAATAATTTTAAAGTTTACATGGAAAATAACCTATTTTTGCAAATTTCATTCACTAGATATGAGAAAGAGAAATCATTAAATTGAATAAAACCTTATGAAATATAAAGTACCTGTGATTTTAATTTTAATTGCTGATTTTTTAATATTTGTGAAGAAAACAGGAAAAAATGATAAGAAAAATTAAAAGTTAATCACAGGTACTTTATATTTCATAAGGTTTTATTCAATTTAATGATTTCTCTTTCTCATATTTAGTGAATGAAATTTGCAAAAATAGGTTATTTTCCATGTAAACTTTAACATTATTTTTTATTTAATATTTCTTATTAATAATTGTTTCTATCAATTTATAATAATAAAATAATTCATTCTTAATAAATTCTAATAATTTTTTTACGTTTTTACAGTAAATTATGTGTTTTCTTTAATATTTTCTAATAGATGAAAATGTGACAGTTTTTACGACTTCATATACTTTAGATGCTTATTTTACAATAAATATAAAAAATATTTAAAAAATTCTTTTTGTTCGGTGATCCTAATATCTTTAAAATCATTCCTGCAAAATATTACAATTTTTTAAAATTAGTCGGCAACGACTTTAGTCGAAATATAATGGAATGACTCATAAAAAAAACAATTTATTGAATAATTATTGCATGTTTGTTAAAATTGAATTCTCATAAAGAATTGTATCAATAAATTTTTAAATAATTAAATTCTTTTGACGAATTTTAATAAAATTTTTAAGAATAACTACATTTTTTCGATGAATTTAATTAAAATTGTATTAAAAATAATTGAAATTCTGCAATGAGTTTAATTATTTATCAAAATAATTGAATTCCTAATAAGAATTTTATTATTTACCAAAATAATTGAAACCCTGTAAAAATTTTATTATTTATGTGAATAATTGAATGATTGCGAAAAGATTTATAAAAAAATTTGTAAATAATGAAATTCCTGTGAAGTTTTTATTATTTTTTGAAAGTAATTATAGGTTTGTGTAGAATTTTATTAATTTTTTTTTTTTAAATAATTGAATTCTTTTGAAAAATTTTATTAGAATAGTGAAGTCATATTAAAAATCATTGAATTGAGGAAAATTTTTGAAAATAATTGAAATTTTTCCCAGAATTTTATTAAAATTCTTTAAAATAATTGAATTTCGGAGAAGAATTTAATTATTTCTAAAGATAATTGAAATTTTGACGAGAATTTTAAAAAATTTTTGAACATAATTAAGTTTTTGCCAAGAATTTTATTACTTTTGAAAATAATTAAATTCCTACAATCATTTGTAATTTCTCTAAAATTATTCAAATTATATCGTACAATTACGGACTTTACGGACCTTTTTTCAAAAAAACGGACTTTTACGGACTTTAAGCAAACTTACGGACTTTTACGGGATTTACGGACCTAGTTCGAGCCCTGTATTAACAACTTTTAAAAATATATTTAATTTCTTTTAAGGAATTTAATTAAAATTTTAATGGCATTTATTATAATAAAGAATTTTATAACAATTTTTTAAAATAATTTACTTCTTGAGAAGAATTTTTTAAAAAATTTTGACAATAATTTAATTCTTGAGAAGAATTTCCCTATCTATTTATAATGAAAATTTAATTTTTGACGGGAATTTTTAAAAGATTTTGAAAATAATTTAATTTTAGCAAAGTATTTTATTACTTTTCAAAACAGTTGAATTCTTGTGATGAATTTTGATATTTATCAAAATAATTGAACTTTGGAAAAGAATTTTATAAAAATTCCTTAGAATAATTGATTTTATGGGAAGAATTTATGCGATTTTGTTGTTTATCAAGCTAATTGAATTCTTTTGCAAAAATTACTTAAAATTTTTTGAAAATACTTAATATAGTAGGTATTCTGCGACGAATTAAATGTTATTTATAAAAATATTTTAATTACATATTGCAATGAATTTTATTGTTTTATTGAATAATTAAATGTTTCTTAAAATTGAATTCTATTCTCAAGTTTTAATAAAATTTTTAATAATAATTGCATTTTTCAAGGAATTTATTTAAAATTGTATTAAAAATATTTGAAATTCAGCGATGAAAATAATTGAATTCGTAAATGAAATTTTATTATTTATGAAAATAATTGAATCTTTTTCTAGAATTGTATTAAAAAGTTTTTTCTATAATTAAATCTGTTCATAAACATTATGCAAATAGTAAATATTGAAAATTATTGAATTGCAAAAAAATTTTGAAAGTAATTGAACTTTTGCAATGCTTTTTATAAATTTTTGAAAATAATTGAATTTTTGGCGAAAAATTTTGCGATTTGTAAAGATAATTGAATTCTTGACGAGATATTCGTGAAAATTTTTTAAAATAATTGAATTTCTTCGAATAATTTTATTACTTTTCAAAATAATTGAATTCTTGAGATGAATATTGTAACTTATGAAAATAATTGAATTTTGTAATGAATTTTATTAAAATTCCTAAAAATTATTGAATTTCTGTAAAGAATTTTGTTATTTATCTTACAAATATTATAAATTTCATGAAAAATGTCATCGATCATAAATTTCAAGATTTAAAACTTTCAAAACAAAAGTTTTCAATTGAAAATTTCAACGGCACTTTGCTAAATTTGGTGTGAATTCATCATTAAAAGATAAAAGAAAAAAATAAGGGAAATTTAGAGGAAATTTTCAAAATTGTGAACGTTTAAGGGCCAAAATTAAAAAAGAGGACTTTTAGAGAAACAGGGGACAGACTGCGAAGCCTGTAATAAAAAATTATAAATGCTAGATACAAAATAATGATAAGAGATTTCTAAATCTTTGTTTAAAAATTATATATATATATATTAACAATAAGATTAAAATAATGTACTCACTCTTCACAGGCGTGGACCATTCGCTTTTCAAGTGTTTGTAGATTCGTTGAACCACTCTTACAGTTGGTTAAGACTTGCAATAAAAGAAGATTTGGAAACTTCCAATATGCCACTTTACTACAACAATCAAACTATCGACCTTCCATCATGTCCGAAATTCACTGTAATCAGAAAGGAATTGGTAAGTTAATTAAAAATATTTTAGTATCAATTTTCAAATTATTTAGAAAAAATATAGTTTATCTCTTTCTTTAATTCAACAATAATATTTTTCTTTCTGCATACATTAGGAATTTTTTTGGGTAAGTTCTTTATTAAACTCAAAAAAGAAGTTTACCTATATTTTAACATTCTCGTCATATTTATTTTATTCTCTTATTAACGGATTAGAAAATTAAAATTTCTATATATATAGGGGAGAGTAGGCTACATTGAACCAGCGTCAACAGTGAACCACTTCAATTTTCTGAGAAATGGCTTCAGAACTTTAGTGTCCTCTGAGTGAAATTTTTTCTTATTTAATATATATGTTAGTTTTACTGAAACAAACTATGTCCAAAAATTTCGGGCACGTAGGTTTATTATTTACAAAGAAAAACTAAAAAAACTGTTTTTCACGTACAAAACAAAAAATTTGGTGGAATTATAATGACGTTTTTTTATTGAAATAGGAAGTTTTAAAAATTAGTAAACTTGCGATTTATTTCGCTTAGGGTGTCAACTTCAATATTCCGATGTGATAAAGAACTTTAAATCTTACACAAATTTATTATAAACAATTTTTGTTGTAAATGTCATGTGAATACAGTGAATGCGGCATCATTGAACCACCCGAAAAAGCAAAGAATTTTCAATTTTAAGAGTTGTAAAATTGTCTGCTCTACTAATTAGTAAGAAAAATACTGGAAGACATGCTTTCATCACAATTGTGAACGAGATAAACTCAAACTGTCACTTTACCTACCTAACCTGACATTAAAATACATTAATCTCCTATATTAACAAGTAATAACAATTAAATAACAATTTTCTATTTTTTTGAGTGGAAAATAAGATTTTTTACAATGTGTAAGTGGAAATATTATTTTTGAAGTAAATTGTAGTGTTTTATTAGAGGTGGTTCAATGTAGACACACATCCTTCAAAATAAGAAAAGTGTGACTTGTTAGAAAAAAATTAAATTTAATTATTTAATCATAATAATTTGTGTTTGTAACGTGTGTATTAACTAAAGGAGTACTTCAGCTTAATTTTGATACAAAAACCTGATCGAAATTAGTAAAATTTTATTAGTTCTTGGACTTTATAAAATACCCGGTTCAATGTAGCCTACCCTCCCCTACATTAACAAGAATTTATTCTCGACAAAAACTAAGAAAGAATAATTTTTCAGACAATCCAACTAAAACAATATTTACACCTCATGAGACCTGGTGATTATTTAGCTGTTAGTGGTTTAAAAGGAATAGGCAAATCATGCCTAATTTCAAAGACTCTAAAAGATGATATAAATTTAGTTGCAGAATTATTTAAAGTAGGTATACTTCTAAATAATTAAGTTAAATAAAAATTATTAACTATATCTTAACTTCTTTTAACTATATCTGAAAACTAAACACAAATATTATTTTTAGAACAACGTCTTCTGGATTACCTTTAATAACAATAATTCGGAGCATCAAAATATTGAGAATGAAATTCTCAACCAATTAAGTAATTTATATGAGAAATTTAATGAACCCACTTTTCCAAGTCGTTTGGGGTCAGAGTCACAGATAAATTGTTGGAAACGCCACATTAGAAATTACTTTAAAAAAAAAGTGAATAAAAGTAGTCTTTTAATTTTAGATAACGTTACCCATGAGGCAATTGTCGATGCTTTCGATTTTGGAAACAAAACTTTGATAATTACAGATGATTTTAGTGTAGTTAGTAAAAAGGAGCCACGACATCTTGAGGTAATTGCAATGAATAAAGATAATGCACTTTGAGCCAAATTTAACTTTAAAAGTACAAATTTAATGACACTTTATTGAAATTCTAATTTCAGGTTACAAATGGTTTCACTGAAACCGAGTCTTTATCACTTTTCGCCAAATCTCTAGATATTATTATGGAACAGCTTCCAAAAGAAGCTAAACAAATTCACAAACAATGTAAAGGAATACCGCTACTAATTGGAATGATGGTGCAACAATTTCAAAATTTTAAAAAGGATATGATTCAAGATCCAAAGTGGTGGCAGTATTTTTTGAAAACTCTGCAAAATGATGACATGTAATTAATTTTCAGTAACAAATTTTCATCCATACTCTTATAGTAATTATCAAAATTTCTTTATAATTTTCCTTTTTCTCAGCTCCAGCCACATTCAAACTGTAAGAAACACCTTCGATTTGTGCATAAAAAAATTAAAACCAGAACAAAGGGAACTTTTTTACGACCTAGCTGTATTTAATGATGACATCAACATAATGCCACAGGTAATTGTTACAAATTTTATTATAAAATGAAATTTACGAAAATTAATAACCATACGTACAAATTTATTTTCAGACTTTAGAAATTCTATGGGGATTAGAACCATTTGCCGTAGACATATTAATGACAACTTTCTGTGAAAAATCTTTGGCAATAAGAAAATATAATCCAGAATTAAATTCCTATATTTATGGAGTTCACAGCATGCTATTGGATCATCTGCGAATTAAATTAGGCCCCGAAACACTGAGAGACAAACATAAAGTCCTAATTAAAAAATATCAAGACAAATGCAATGGAGATTTCTCCCGATTACCAGTCGACAATTACATCCATTCCTACATAGGTCATCATTTAGCAAACGCCGAACTAGATGATCTTTTCAAGGATATTTATCTTGATTTAAAATTTATTCAAAGTAAATTAATTCACAGTGGTATAAACGATATTTTAATTGATATCGAAAAATATAAGCATTACATCATTGGAAATTGTCCCGAAAATTTAATTAAATTAAATGAGATAAAAAAATTTGTTAAAAAAAATATTAAAATACTAACAAAACAGAGAGAGAAATGTTGCTTAGATGTCATTCAATTAGCACTTCTACAAGAAGAAGGATTTATTTTTAATCAAGCGCGACAATTAGCAATCGAACAATCCGCATATCCCTATTTTTCTCGTACCATCATCGCTGAAGATGAAATTAATGTTGAGAACATATTTATCGAAAGTTCAACTCACCCCGTTTCGGAGGAAATCACAAACATTTGCTACACTAACGATCACAATTCACTTCTTTGGTCAACTAAGAATGGCGATATTGTCGAAAAGAATTTCGCCTCTGGGAAAATTTGCAATTTTCACGGTCTACAAGGTGAAGATATAAGAAAATTAGTAGTTTCCAATAATGAACAACATTTCCTCGCCCTAACCAAAAAGGGCGATGTAAAACTCTTCCTACTTGGAAAAAACGATTCAAATAGTGAAAGACTCAGAGAAAGACAATCCCAGTATGTTTTATTGTTTGACAATAAAAAGAAAGATGACAGTTTGAAAACATTTCGGATTAATAATGAAGTAATTACGGATGTAATTTTTACAAATGATGATTTAATTGCCGCTTGTACAGACCAGGGTACAGTGATCATATGGAATGAAAATGATTGTCTTTGTCGAGATAAGAAAAATAGTTCTTTAAAAAAAATAATTAGCTTAGATGCACCGATAAATGAATTATTTCACACTTTTACTAATGATGGTTTCATTAGAACATACAATTTTGAAAGCAATCGTTTGGATGATATTTCAGAGTATGATCCTCAAATAACAAGTCCTGTTGTTTTCTGTCAAAGACTAACAACAGAGCCTAATTCTTTAGTAGTTGTGACACAAAATGAAGCTCTTCATATAAAATGGGAACAATCGGATGGTGTACTCGCAAATATTCATAAAGAATGTCAGACTATGATTAACAATCCTGAGGAGACTTTTGAAAGTGCTATTATAACGTACGACGAGCAGTACCTAATTATCGCAAAATCTGACGGTTGCACCGAAATATGGAATTTTCGCAATGAATTTAAACTTCTAACCTCTTGCAATTTAAAAGTCTCTTGTTTAGACAGCTATTGGAAGAAAGATGATAACTACCATTTCGTAAGTTGAACTTGTATTTTTATTTACCAAAAATCTCACACAAGTTTAAAAATCCAATACTTCTGTTTCAGCTATGCGGAAAAGAGAAATCACTAATTTATAAATGGAAACTAAATCCAAAAATCGAGGAACTAAGACCTGTGAGGTAAGAAATACATAGTCATAAATATACTTCAAAAAAATTAAATTATTAACCTTACTGCTTTTTAATTACCAGTGAACCACTGTTTACCGCGTCTATGAAAAGAAAAGGACAATATGATACAGTAGCCAGGCGAACAAACGACAATAAGTTGAGAATAACCAAAGGATGTCAAAAAAAATGGACAAAAATACATGACATAGATCTAATAGGAACCACAAGCACTTTCATATTCTCCAAAGATAGCAGAAAATTAATTTACGATATTATTGAAGACCAAAGACAAACCATTTATGTGTTCGATCTTGAGACCAAAACTTCTAGATACATCATGAAATTGGAAAAAGTTGCAAAATTAATGTGGCTCGTCAATAACTTTACAGTTTCCGATATTGTTCTAATACTTGAGGAAAATCAAGACTTAAAGGTAAAACTTTCAATTTGTTTTTTAACCCCCTTCACTGGCAGGAACGCCATTTAAAACGCCCTGTCAGTGAAGGGATTAATACTTTTTCAAACTTTAATACACTGCTTATATGATTTGCAGATTTGTGCCTACAGCAGCAATGGTCAAATAGGAACTCAAATTATAAAGAAATTTGGAAATTTAATTGGTGTTCATGAAATCGACAAAAATGAAATTTTAACAGTAACAAATGATTGCGTCATTACCTATTGGATGGCTGCTCCATACAGTGGAGAATTAATATCTGTCGAAAAGGAAGTTCCCAAACATTTTAAAGTAATCAGCAGTACTCTAAGTGTAGACAAAAAATATTTAGCAGTACTAAATAAAAACAGGAAGATAATACATCTGTATCAGATAAAAACCATTGAAATGAAATCAAGACAAGTTTCCATAAAGTTCTATCACGAAATTCCTCAATTCAATGATAGCATCACTTGTTTTGAATTTTCAAAGAATGAAAAGTATTTGGCCATTGGATTCAAAAATGGCAATGTTACCGTGAGTTGAAAACAATTTTTTTTCCAACAAACAATATTTTACAATAATAAATTATGTTTATCAAAAATTTGACTTCTTTTCACAGATTTACGACGTGGAGGATAAAACCGAAATTTACACATATTCCCTATTAGGAAGTTGTGTGAAAAATATAGAATGGAGTTTGGATTCAGAAAAATTAATATTGGCGAGTTCGGAAAAAATTGCTGTAGTAAAAACTGCGGACAAAATTCAACCGAAGAAGTTCAATCGCAAGGGAATGTGTATTATTCCTAAAGAGAAAAATCTAGTTCAAAGTAAAAGAGATCAATCACTATTATTAAGAATAATTCCGTTACCGACAAACAATGCCAAAGTATTTGTGTCAGAGGATTTTGAGAAAATTTTAACAGTAGATAATAATGGGCATGTGAATATTTTTTCACAACTAATGATCTCAGATTTACAAAGTACTTCTAACATTCTACAAGAGAATTGTGCGGTAGTTTGAATTAAGATTATTATTTATTGATGCGAGAATCTACTCTGTCTTACATGGTCCACAATTGTCAAATCTGCTCTAGACTTTAAAAACCCCTGAAACAATAATTTTGCAAGTAAATTTAATTGATTTCTTGATTAGGTTCTGAAAGTTCAAATAAACGAAATTTTTTGCTAATATGAATATTTTCAAGAACCTTCTGCAATAAGAAGTAAAAACAAAATTCAATAATATTAGAAACTTTATTATTTGTGTCATGTATAAATTTTTGATATGGAACGTAATATTTTTGTAATAAAATTTGAAGAAGAAATAAATAAATTCGGATCATTTGAACTATCAGAACTTTAGGGATACTTGACTTTCCAAAAATCTATTAATATTCGAAAGTAAAAGAACAGGTCGACGCTCAATGTCAAAAATAATCTTTTGGGATTTTCAGTGATTAAAATGGCACTAATTTTATCATTTTCATTTACCTGCAATTCTGAAAATTTTCATTTGACGGTTTTAACTATGAAACTGAAGTTACCAACGTTGATACAACAAAAAAATTAAAAAAAAATTTTTCTAAAAACTTCAGGTTACAAATTTTTCTTGTTTATTTTTAACCCAAATAAACCCACCAAACCCTAAAATAAAAAAAGGTGGGGAAACAGAAATTGTTATTTTTTTCTCACGGATTTTCCAAAAATCACGAAATTTCAACTAAATTAATAATTCCTCGCCCCGGTAGTAATTTTTTTCTTTTGATTATTACTACCAAGGCGAGGAATTATTAATTTAGTTGAAATTTTGTGATTTTTGGAAAATCCGTGAGAAAAAAATAACATCTTCTGTTTCTCCACCTTTTTTATTTTAGGGTTTTGTGGGTTTATTTGGGTTAAAAATAAACAGAAAAAGTATCCTAAACTTTTTACAGAACATTTTTTTAAAAATGTTTTCATTGAATCAACGTTGCTAACTTCAGTTTCATTTTTAACTCAAGGTGTTTGAAAAAATTGTTTAATATTTTTCGTTTCGCAGAAAGAAACATTATTTTTGACGCATAACGTCGACCCTAAATTCAGAGACCTGAAAGAACAGTCTACATAGAATTATTCTTCACTTACAATCTGATTTTGTACGCCATATTGGATCCGCCATTTTTAAATCTAACGTCCCAGGGAAAATCTAGCAACGAATTTAAAAATTCAATGTGAAAATGATTGTGTCCATCGACAGTTAAGAATGTGAAGACTAAAAAGGAGGGTTTAACTGTTTTACATTTTTATAAAAAATCAAATGACTTTTTGTATTAAAATTAATCATTTTTACCCTCCTCTTAGTGTTCGAAATACTTTTTTAATACAGCACATTTCATTTACTTATTAAATACTTAACAATTTTTAAAATTGTGAAGTGTCTGCTCAAAATGATTGTGTGGAATATGTACAAGAGATTACTAGAATACCCATAGTATTTAAGAAGTGAGTATTTTTTTTAATATTTATTTTTAACAATAGTTTTAAAAAGATTTTTAACAATATTTAAAAATTTTTTTAAATAATGACTGATTAAATAAACAAAACGACTTCAGTAAATCTTAACATTAACAATATTTCTAAAGTTCCCAATAATCTGAATACAGAAATTAGAGGTGTGCAAAAAGCTCGAATAGCATGGTCGAGCTCGAGCCGGGCTCGAGTTTTAGTTACTCAAAAATATTTGAGTGCTCGAAAAATTCAAGTGCTCAAAATTATTTTAGGTTTAATACTGCACGTGTCGGATGGAATTTGGTTCAAGTTCGGATTGATTCTGCTCAGCTCTGCTAGAAAAACGAAAAGCTTGAAATACTCGATCGAGCTTTTTGCACAACTCTAACAGAAATTTATTCTTCAAATTAAAGAAATAAAACTATTTTAATTTTTCTACGAAGAGAAATAAACTAAATAAAAGCAGGAAAGTGTTGGAAAAAATTATTTCTCTCTAATTAAAAACATAAAAATTTACGATTCATTTCAAATTTTTGGAACTTTGGAAACATTAAAGACTGATTTCACTAATTTTGAAAATCATTAGAAATTAAATTAACACTTATTTTCATTTTCTGAATAGAAATTATTCTTCATTCCAATATTTATGCATATTCCAGTAATCTCAATTTTTTTTAACTTTTATGTTACTTAAAAATTGCATGTAAAATTTATTTCTTAAATGAAGATCCCGATCAAAGAACAAGTTACAGTTTGTTTAAGCTAAAAAATCATAATTCTATAAATCAGAAACGAAATAGTTTTAAAACAGAATTTTTGAAGAAACATTTTCGTAATCTTTCTTTACTAGAAATTAAAATTCTAAATTCATTTTTTATTTAGGGGTCGAAAATTTTGAGTTTTAGAAAATTATAACCGGTTCTTTGATCAGGATGCTCAATTTCCAACAATGTTAAAGTATGTACTTAAATATGTACATAAGATCACAATGTGTGATCTTTATACTATAGTGGAACGATTTTTAAAAGCTTTAAGTGACTTATTAAAAAACAAAAGTTACTTAATGCACATAATGCATTTTTAATATGCGAATAATAATTTTGAAACCGAAGAACACGAGTGATAAGTGATAATATTATTTTTATTATTATTATTATTATTATTATATTATTCATTTCATAATTATCATTACTAATATTAAATTAACCAGTGAAAATAATTAATCAATATTAAAATTTCTCATCGAGATTGAAGAGATTAAATTTTTTTTAATAGGTACACTAGACGTATTAAAACTTAATGTATAATTTATGCATGCAATTATACATTTTTCTCGATTTTTAGAATAGTGCAAATTTTTGTCAAACAAAAATTGTCATATCTTTGAGCTTATAATTACCTATATAAAATTAATTTTAGAGGAAGAAATAATTATATTTCTTCTGAAATATATTCTCACGTACTTGAAAAAAAATAGTTAATTGTTTATTTTTTTAAAAAATAATTAATTAATTTTTTATTTAAAAAATTTCCTAAAATTCTAAGCGTGCAGATGAACGATTTTTTTCTCTTTTAATATTTTTAAAAATTTACTAAAAATGAAATAGAAAATAATATAAATTGAACATCTTTACTTCGTTAAGAATTAATTTTTTCACTAAAGAAAATAATTCTTTTTAGTAACAAGCAAGAAGTAACAAAAATGTCGTTCATTTGTAAGTTCGAAATTTTAGGATTAAAATAAATTATTAGTATTTATAAATTTATTTAAAAATTATTTTATATTTTTTTTCAGAGCATCTGAACAAAATTTTTTTATAAATTATTTTAATATAAAATCATTATTTAATCAATTCTCTTTTAATTATTGTACATATAAAAAAACAAATGCTTCGCAACAGAAACTCTTATCACTCGCTTTAATGAAGAAAAAAAGAAAATCCCAAAATAGTGAAAAACAATTTAAAAATTCAAAAATAGTTCTTCGGTTTTGAAAGTACCCCATTTTTTAAAAATAAATTTTTCTGCAGCGCAAAATTGTATTTCTTTATACATATATGTGAATTTCAAATAGCACATTTTATATACATATCTAAAAAAATTGCTTCCACGACATGTGCTCTTAAGGAGAAAAATAATTTTTATATAATATCAAAAACGACGATTTTACAAAATATCAAAGCGACCAAGGTACCACGCGTGCTCTTATAAAATTAAAAATTTTTGATAAAAATTTATGTAGGTGAATAACCATAAGTTAGCATAACATTGCAAAATTGCCATATCGCACATTAAAATTAATATAATATTATGTATTATATGCATATATAAGCATTAAGGGTAGAGACCGGTGAAATTTCAACCTATATTGACAATTATGTTTTTTGTTAACGTCCAGAATTTTTTTTTTTACATTATTTAGAAACTAAATTTATCCTTTATTACTAAAATTTAAAAAAAAAAATTTTTTTACTATTTTTGAAACTTTATTTTTTGAAGAAATTAAAAATGTTTTCCAAATCCATAGATTGATTGTTCAGAATCATGAAAAAACCTAAACAAAATTCGAAAATGAAAGGTAATAAAAAACGTGGAACAAACGAAAAAATTTCACAAGTCCCTCCCCTTAATTATATATAATAATTAGAAATATTGGAGATAATTATGAAATTAAGTATATATATATTAAGTATATATATATTCTAATGGCTAAATGTGATAGTTGAATATTTATTTTATTTATTTATATAATTTATATATTTATAATTCTTCCATAGAAAGATATTAGACAAATATTTTTCAAGATTAAAAAAAAAATTCTCCACTTTCAGAAATATCTTTTCATTATTTTATATAATGTTTTTAAAAACACTGTACCGTTGAACAAATTTAATTCGCAAATCTTTACAAAATATTGAAATAAATAAAATAAATGAAATGAATTATTAAAAATCAAAAGAGCCAAAAAAACAAAATAAAAAATTAAAAATGAGAAATATATAAAAAGCATCGTTTGGTTGCGAAATATGGAAAAAGATTATCGAATGCTTTTTATGGCAAATGTGCAATTAACAAACAAATTGTTAATTAACTTTTTGTAATCTTTTAAACGAAGTTATTTGAGATTATATATTTGTTTTGTGTAGAGAAATATAGTGTACCTATATATAAATCTTTGTTTATTATTTCATACACCCTATATTGTTAAACTAATAAATAACAATTATAATATAATATAATAATATTATATTATTATATATTATATATTATATTATATTATATTATTATTATATTATAATATAATATTATACAATAAATATATAATTATATAATAATAATAAGTAATATTATTAATTATTATTAATTAATAATTATAGTAACTAGCAACAATTCTAACTTTCTTCTACAAAGTTCAATTATTTTCATAAATGTCAAAAAAATTCTTGTCCTAATTTCAATTATTTTAAAAAATAAAATGCATTTTTCTAATTTCAATGATTTTCAATATCTACTATTTTAATAAAATTTCCCAAAAAGAATTCAATTTTAAAAAAAATTTTAATAAAATTGTATGCAAACATTTAATTATTTTCATAAATAATAAAATTTTTTTAAGGAATTCAATTATTATTTTCATAAAGAACAATTTAAAATTCTAGAAAATAATAATTGAATTAAAATGATGAAAATAATTTTGATAAAGTTACAATAACAAAAAAAAAAAAAAAAAAGTTTTAAATTTGAAATTTTTGAATGTCTTAATTTCTGTGGAAAATCCTGTTCCAAAAATAATATTAAAAATAGGAATTGTGCAAATATTTTTCTTCTTCTTCGCAAACAAAATAATAATTTTGTTAAAAAAATTGTGTTTCATAAAGAAAAATAATGCAAAATAAATAAATTTTCTATTTCTTAATCACAGTTGTTTAACAATTTTCTAATTTTGTTTAGAAGTAAAGAACAAAAATCTGCATAATTTCAATTTGACAAAACATAATATTTAACAAAATTTTAGTCTTTTAATGAAAAGAAGTGAAAAAAATTCGATGATTTTCTATTTGTCATTACAATTTTGAATTAATTAGAAAATAAAAATAATTATAACATTAATTAATTAATTAATAATAATAAAGTACATGTTCCGGTAATTTGTTCAAAAAAAAGCAAACAACAACTGTTGTTTGCTTTTTTGTTTCTTAACTTTTTTATAATATTTCTTTTCAAATATTATCAATTTTAAAATTAATGAATTGAAAATCATCGAATTGTTGCAAAGTATTTTATTAAAAAATTTGATGATAATAGAATTCCTTCAAAGAATTTTATTATTTAGGAAAATAATTGAATTCTCGCAAAGAATTTTATTCAAATTGTTAAAAATCCTAATTAAATTCTTTTGAAGAATTTCTTTGAATTTTTTTTAAACTAATGGAGTTTCTTTAATAATTTTAATTGAAAATTTTGAAAGCAATTGAATTTTATGAAGAAAAATTATATTAAAAGTGAATTGAAAATAATTGAATTCTTGGGAAGAATTTTACTATTTATAAAAATAGTTAAATTGTTTCGAAGAATTTATTAAAATTTTAGGACATAATTGAAATTTATGGAAATATTTAAAAATATTTGAATTCATAAGAGGAATTCAATTAAAATTGTTATGAAAATAATTGAATTCCTTCAAAGGATTTTACTATTTATAAAAATAATTGAATTATTGCGAAGAATTTTACTATTTATAAAAATAATAATAATGTTTTGAAGGATTTATTAAAATTTTAAGAAATAATGAAATTGTTATGAAGAATTTTATAGAAATATTTGAAAATAATTAAATTTCTTCGAGAAATTCATTTAAAGTTGTTTCGAAAATAATTGAATTTCTTTAAAGAATTTTATTAAAATTAAGTATATTCAAAATAATTGAATTCATTACAAGAATTTTATTATTTTTCGAAAATAATTGAATTCTTTCAATTTTTATATAGAATTTTTTTAAAATATTTTGAGAATAATTGAATTATTTTTACAGAATTTTAAATTCTTGTTGAAATTGCATTTTATGGAATTTTTTGAAAATAATTAAATTCTTTCATGTTATTTTATTTAAATTTGATTAAAAATAATTTAATTCCTGCAAAGAATTTTCGTATTTATAAAAATAGTTGAATTGTTTCGAAGAATTTATTAAAATTTTAGAAAATAATTGATATTTATGAAAATATTTGAATTCATCCGAGGAATTCAATTAAAATTGTTTTGAAAATCATTGAATTTTTGTAAAGATTTTACTATTTAAAAAAAAATATTGAATTGTTTAGAAGGATTTATTAAAATTTTAGAAAATAATTGAATTCTTTCGTGAAATTTTATTAAAATTTTTGAAAATATGAACAGTAATTAATTAATTTTGTACTTAATAAGTGAATTTTTAAAATTTTGATTATGATATTATTTATAAAATTTATATTTTAAAATAAAAAATTTTGTAATTTGCATAACAATAATAAATTATTGTTGTGTAATTAATTAGTTAATATTAATTAACTTTAATCAGTTGTTATTAATTAAATTAATAAATTATAATTAGTAAATAGTTATAATATTAAATATTATTATTTATTTAACAATATTATAAATATTATTTGCAATATTACTACTGTGTATATCAAAGATGAGAAAAGAATTCACTTTCGTTTTTGTATGTCGCGTGAACTTATTCAAGCGTGGAAATTGCAAATTCCGGTTTAATAAATTTTAACAATTTATAAATTCACTTTATTAATATGGTGCGATGGTGGTGTAATGGTCAGCATAGTTGCCTTCCAAGCAGTTGATCCGGGTTCGATTCCCGGCCATCGCACTCTTTTTTGTAAAAAATCTTTCCCAAAAAGCAAAGGAATTTCCTTTGTTCATTTTTATTGCGTTGAAATCGAAACCTCGCATTAGTAAAGTATTTTTAATTTGAAAATAATTTTAACAAATATAATCATTTTTAACAAAAAATTTTAAATCACATTTTTTTTCTTTAATTTTAAAATTATTTAATTATTTTTGACACTAAAAATAATCAAATTAAGAATTAATTTACCTAACAACAGAAAATTTACAGAACACCAAATTATCGACTGTTGTTTAAAGTTCGATAGTTGATTAATACAGTAAAAAAGGGGTGTGGTCTTTTGTCTACCGTTAAGAAAGTTTTATTTAATAGCTACCTGCACAATCTAATGAACAAACAATAAACAAAATTATCAAGAGTGTCAAAATTTTGAAACAATTAATAAAAGCAAAAAAGAATAAAACATTCGCTGAAAAATATCCTCTCGTCGCTAAAGTAAATCTCTCGAATTTCTAAAATCTATTTTAACAACAGAGTAACCATTTTAATCTCGAGAAAATAGCTAAAGATCGCGTAAGTATGCTGACCTGCTCAACAACAAAGCTTGGTGTGTAATTTTCTTTAGTTAGTGTTTGTGTTGTGTAGTGAAAAGCGTCGTAGTCAGAATTAGTGAGCAATAGTTTGTAGGAAAACAATTAAATTTTTTATCCAACAATACCAAAATGCGCTCAAGTAAAAAGTAGAACCCAGCAGGGAAATGTTTTAGAAGGAAAATCGCTTTTTCAAACTTGGTAAATTGTCAATTTTTATCCACGACCATGTAGCAAGTAGTAGTGAGTAGTACGCGAGTTTTTTTTCCCTTATTTTTTTTTTTTTTGTTCTACTCCAATTTTCCACGTGACATTGAAATACGCATATTCGCCAATTTTATTTCAAGTATTTAACGGGAAATTTATTTAAATCAAATCCTTTTACTCATCAGTTTCCATAGAAATTACAAAAGCAGAGAAAGATACACGTCAGATAATAATTTTTTAGAAAATTTCTTGTTTGTTTTTTCTTTCGCTTAATTAATTTATTTACATCAACCCCGCGATGTTCAAGAGTTAATTGACACATGTTAATGATAATCGTTCTAAAAGTGATGAGTAATAATAATAATAATAATAATAATAATAATAATAATAATAATAATAATAATAATAATAATAATAATAGCAGCAGCAGTAGTTGTAGTAATAATAATAATAGTAGTAACAGCAGTAGTAGTAGTAGTAATAGTAATAATGATAACATCTAATTACTATAGTAATTAGATGTTATCATTATTACTATTATTATTATAATAATACTAGTAGTATTAATAATAATATATATATAGTTGCAATAATAATGATGATAACAGCAGTAAAAATAGCATAATAATGATGATAACATCTAATTAACAATGTATAATAAAAAAAGTTTATTCCCTTGTAGAAAAACAGATATGAAAAAAGGTTATGGAGGAAATTCACTGTGATATTTTAAAGAAATACCGAAAAGCAATAGTCGACGATGTCGATGTTAATAACGAGATAATAAAACCCCTAAGGAAAGAGAATATACTCACGGATGATGATGTGAAGAGGATTACTAATGGAACAACACTTCAGGAGAGGGCTTCCATATTGTTGGAGTTACTACCACTGTATGTGAATTTTTCGAAAAAGAAGAATTTTAGTCAAAAATCTTCTATTAATTTTACTTTTTTGTTCAGATGTGGACCCTCGGCCTTTGATGCTTTTAATCAAGCACTAAAACATCACTATTGCTGGATTAGTACCCAAATGGAAAAACATTTAGAATGGAACCGATTGTCATTATGTGCAGCAAGTCATTGTAATGATCTTCCACCTGTACCACGACTTCTTGTCACCAGAGAGGACAAGGTATTTAGGATAAATTCCCAATTAATTAATACAAGATCAAAATTTTGAATAGACAAATATTGAGATCAAAATTTTGATTCTAAAACAGAATTTATTATTTGGAATCGAAGAATAAAAGCAAGATGTGATCGAACAATCAAAAATTGTTTTCTACCTTCTTTATTTATTTTCTTTCTTCCAATTTTAAGAAAGTAATTTTAAGATAACAACGAAATTAGAATTTTTTTTATTTACTTAATAAAATTTATTCCCCATTTGCAAACATTTGGAATTCTTTTTCGGTAAGTACAAGTAGAAGACGAGTTGAAGTTTTCAGACAACAAAAAGTGAATAACACTAAATGCAAAATTTTTTATAGGTTCTAAAGTTCAAGCAGGATTTACAAAAATTGAAACCAGGCAAACATCTTGCTCTACATGGCCTAAAAGGTTTTGGCAAAACGAGTCTCATTGTGATAACATTAAAAGATGATAATTTAGTTGCAAATCTATTTCGGGTAAATTTTCCCTTCTCTCAATTTCCTCAATTACGAATATTAAATCCGTGACTAATATTCCATATATCTAAATAAAATAATTCCTATTACTTTTCAGAATGAAGTCTACTGCTTGAAATTCAGTTATTCCAACAATAAACAACAAAATCGTGAAACAATTGACGAGAGAAAAATTGATGAAGAAATATTAATTCAACTCAATGTTCTGTATCAGCGTATTAAAAAATCTGAGACACTCCCTACACCATTGAAATCAGAACCACTCAAGGAATGTTTAATTAGATTAATTAAATTGCATTTCTGTTTGAGACAACACGAGAACGCTCTTCTAATATTAGAGGACGTATGTTGTAAAAAAATCGTCGATACTTTTAATTTTTGCTGCAAAACTCTCGTTATTACTGATGATCTTTCGGTTGTAAAGCACAAGCATCCGATTATTTTCAAAGTAATTATAAAAAAAAACATTTTTCTAAACTCATTTAATTTACTTTACTTTATGCAGTAATTATTGAATTCTAACCATTTTAGGTACACGATGGATTCACAGAAACCGAGTCTTTGTGTTTATTTGCCAAAGTTTTAAACGTTTCTGTCGAACAACTCCCACCGGAAGCAAAGAAAATTCACGAGGAATGTAAAGGAATGCCTTTACTTATTTCAATGTTCTCGGCACAATTCGAAGACTTCAAGGAGCAATTGATTGTCGATCGTGCAAGATGGAAGTACTATTTAAAATGTCTACGAAAACGAGAACCGGACCATAGGTATAAAATACAAAATAAATGATTCCCAATCCATTAAAATTGAAATTGTAAATATCACCTTTTTCCACAGAGCAATTCAGAAAAGAACAACAATTTTCGACATGTGCATTGATAAATTATCACCAGAATTAAAGGAACTCTATTTCGAATTATCAATATTTAGCGAAGGTGTAAACATAATGCCAAAAACTTTAGAAATTTTATGGGGCCTAGAATCATTCGATGTGGACGAATTAATGCTAACACTTTGCAATAAATCACTTGCAGCTAGACAATGGAATGCAGACCTCAAAAATTATGTTTACGGAATTCATGATCTTCTACTAAGTCATTTACGCATGAAATTATCACCAGAAATTATGACCGAAAAACATCGTTCGTTCATCAAAAAGTATCAAAATGTTTGCAACAACGACTTTTCAAAATTACCAAACGACAACTATGGTTACTCTTACATTGGTCATCATTTAGAACAAGCAAAATTGTACGATTCTTTTGAAAAAATTTATCTAAATCTAGAATTTATTCAAGCAAAGATAATAAATGCGGGTCTAAATGATTTATTAATCGATCTGGAAAAATACGAGCAGTATATCAGTCGTGACTACAAAGACGATCTTGTTCAAAAAATCATTGATATCGAAAAATTTCTCAAGGATCACATGAGTATTTTCACAAAACACGGAATTCGAAATTGTCTTGATATCGTACAAATAGCATTGTATCATGCTGAAGAAGGATTCGTTCTGGATCAAGCCCGAGAATTAGCGGGTAAACGTGCACTAAATCTCTACTTATCCCGTACAAAAATTTTCGGCCAAGGCAATGTATCGTCAAGTGAAAATCTATCAACCGAATCAACAATTGATTCATTTCTCGAAGATGTATCAACAATATGCTTTACAAACGATGATCCCCATTCCTTATTGATCGCGACAAAAAATGGTGACATTGTTGACAAGAATCTCGCCATTAAAAAATCCAACTACATTTACGGATTTCAAAAGAAAAAAATTGTCCTACTAGTTCTATCGCATCTTAGCAATTGTTTTCTTGCCCTAAGCGATGAGGGTAAAGCGAAATTATTTTCCCTAAATGACGAAGAAAGTTCCGACGACGGTCGAATCGTTCAAAGTCCAAGGGAAAAACAAAATTGTTGGACTGGATTTTTCACCAATAAATTAACGCAAGACGATAGTTTGCATACATTTTGGATTGAGGACGATCCAATTTCAGATATAACATTCTCGCCGAAAGATGAATTTATCGCCGCATGCACACCAAAGGGTACAATACAAGTGTGGATGAGAAATGGTGAACAATTTCAAACACTAACAGTAAAGAATAATTGTTGTTTAAAAAAAATTGCATTCACATCGGATCAACATAACAATATTTTATTACACGTTATGGATGAAAATCAATGTGTTCTGATAACACATGAATTTGTCAATAATACATTTAAATATAAATCAACATACAATCCACAAATTTGTCAACGCAAGGAGAATATGAAAATTGTATTTTTTAAAGGTTTACCATTTGAAAATAATTCTCTGATTTTGGTGACGAAAAATAAAGCTGTGCATATTAAATGGCTTCAGTCGGAGACACAAATTCACAGTTTCATAAAGCAAGAAAAAGCCGAAATTGAAGATCCAAACACGTTTTTTATATGCGCAACTGTAACTTACGATGGTCAATATTTAATTACTGCCAAATCTGACGGGATTATTAATGTCTGGGAGATACACAGTAGTTTCGAGCCAATTGCAATTTATAAAGGAAATGTCTTTTGTCTGGACACCTACTGGAATCGAAGGGAAGGAAAACATCTGGTATGTATTTCAATTTAGAATTTATTCAAGTTTGTTTCGATTTTTATAGAGAATGGAATTATTCTTTTCAGTTCTGCGGAAATGAGAACAGAATAATACACAAATGGGAATTAAAGGAAATCGAAGTACCCAAACCTTTACAGTAAGACATTTTTCATACATCATCAGAAAATAATTTCCACTACATTGAATATTTTAGAACTCTGAAGTTAGCGTCGACGCTAAGCGAATTGGATTCAAACAGTTAAATACAAAATTTAAAGATTATAATTGAACGAAAGCAGAAAATTAATGTCTAAAAACCCAAAAAAAAGATCATTTTAAACGCTTAGTGTCGACGCCGACTACAGGATTTTTTATACAACAAAAAAATTTTTTTTTATTTTTAATGCAACAAAATTTCTCCTTGCAGTAAACCATTGTTCAATGCTCTAATGAATCCTTCGGGTGATGATTTGGTCGCAAGACAAACTCTAAAAAATACAATAGCTGTGATACGTGGGAACAAAAATAAATGGAAAATGATAGCCGAAACAAAATTAATCGATGGAAAAGTAAACACCATGATTTTAACTCCAGATGGGTCTAAATTAATTTACGATATTGTAAAGGAACAACGACAAGAAATTTTTCTACTTTATGTCGATACGAATAGTTTAAGTCGTATCACATCACTAAAAAGTACATCGAACTTTATTAAAATTGCTACCAATTTTGAAAACGGTATAGCAATTATTTTCCAGGAAAACGCTGATGCTCTAAAAGTAAGTTTCTAGCGATTAAATAACAGGCTTCGCACTCATCTACTAAACTCTACTATATACTACTTTTTTTACGTCTTGATACTATTTGGGTACTTTTTTAGATTTCAGCCACTAAAAGCTACTATTTCAGTTTTTTGAGAATTTTCACAACATTAAATTCGCTAATACTATAAATAAAAAAAACTATTCTCAAAAATTATAATCAAATTCTTTAAATTCAATTATTTTCAAAAAATATTCGAAATTCAATTATTTTCAATATCTAGTATTTTCATAAAATTTCGCAAAAGAATTCAATTATTTAAAAAAAATTTTGAAAATTCATCCAAAATTCAATTGTTTTCATAAGTAACAAAATTTCCACAGAAATTCAATTAATTTAGAATAACATTTTCAAACAAATTTCGTAAAAATCAATTATTAAAAAAAAATTGCGATACAATTCTTCACAATAATTCAATTGCTTTCACTAATAATATTTTTCATGGAAATTCAATAATTTAAAAAAATATATGATGAAATTCTAAGCAAGAATTCAATTATTTTTATGAATAATAAAACTCATCGAAGAATTCCAATTATTTTTAATACTATCTATATTAAATTAATTAATCGAAAAATTCAATTATTTCCACAAGAATTCAATAATATTTAAAATAAAATTTTTATAATATTTATTATATTTCGAAAAAATTAATCATTTAAAACAATGTTTATAAAATTCTTATGAAGAATTCAATTATTTTCAAAAATAACAAAATTTTTCACAGAAATGCAATACTTTTTAAACATTTTAATTAAATTTTTCGCAATAATTCAATTAGTTTCACAAATAATAACATTAATCGCAGGATTTCAATTATTTTTAATAAAATTTTACAGGAATTGCTCAAAAAATGTATTTATTCTTAAAAATTTAATTTCAATTACTCGAAAAAATCAATTATTTAAAAAAAATGTATTTTTTAAATTCCTTGGAAGAATTCAATTACATACTTCAAAAAATATTAAAATTTTTCACAGGAATTCAATTATTTTCAAATATTTTAATAAAATTTTTCGAAAGAAATCAATTATTTTAAATACAATTTTAATTAAATTTTTATAAAATAATATTCAATTATTCTTTTAGATTTTAATAAAATTCTTCCCAAGAATTCAATTATTTATATAAATAATTCTTTCAAAAAATTTAATTCTGTCAATAGATCACAAAATTATTCCCGAAAATGGAATTATTTAGAGGCATTTTAATAAAATTCATTGCAAAATTTAATTATTTTTATAAATAACAATATTCATCACAAGAATTCAATTATTTTTAAAAGTAATAAGTTTCTTCTTGGAAATTTAATTATTTTAAAAAATTCTAATAATAGCGTTCGCAAGAATTCAATTATTTTCATAATTAATAAAATGCTTTTTAGAAATTCAATTATTTTCAAACAAAATTTAATAAAATGCCACACAGACATTCAATTATTGTCAAAAATTTTAATAGAATTCTTTGTAAAATTGAATTATTTTTAAAAACTTTTCGCAATTCAATGATTTTCAATATCTACTATTTTCATAAAATTTCCAAACAGAATTTAACTAATTATTTAAAAATTTTTTTGTAAAAATCTTCTTAATAATTCAATTCTTTTCATGAATAATAAAAATTTCTTAGGAATTCAATTATTTAAATTAGAATTTGCATAAAAATAAGTCGAAAGAAATCAATTTTTTAAAATTTTTTATAAAATTATTGGCAAGAATTAAATTATTTTTATAAATATTTAAATTCTTTCATGAATAATAAAATTCGTTAGAGGAATTCAATTTATTATCAGGATAAGAAAGAAGTCAATATTATTTTATGTAAATTAGGAAAAAGTCAGGAAAATAAAATATAGAATGGAATTTTTGTCAGTTTTGTGAAGTGTCTATAAAACGAGGGTTTTTTTTATCGTCAAGTTTGATTTTTCGATAGCTACTTTTTTACCACTTTTATTAGTTTGAAAGCTACTTTTTAAAAATTAATTATCGAGTGCAAATTGAAATTGTATTTGTTTTTTTTTAGGTATGGCTGGAGGAGAAAGTTTGTTACTTAGTTACTGATACTGGAGATGTGATGTCAATTTATGAAATGGAGAATGATCAAATATTGACAGTAACGAAAAATTTTGTGATTAAGTACTGGTACGTTTGTGGATACAATTGGCATTTAGGTACTAGTGAAAATTACGAAGCTGCAAATTCAACTGCCATTAGTAGCACTTTAAGTGCTGGTAAACAATTTTTAGCGGTGCTCAATGAAGATCAAAAAAGCGTGGTGCTTTACAATATTTATAAAGATCGCAATGTGGATCCAGTTCAAGTGTCAATTAATCTTCATCACGAGAATTATAGTTATCAGGAGAAAATTACCTGCATGGAATTTTCCCGCGATGAAAAACTCTTTGCCATTGGTTACGAGAGTGGAAATATTTCTGTAAGACATCCATTTTATCTTCAATCATACAATAAGTCATTTCTTTCATGTTTTTCCTCCCTGAAATTGTCGTCGACGCTCGGCATCGAAAAATATTTTTCGAACTGTGAATTTCGAAGTTTCGATTAAATTAGTTGTCGACGATAACTTCAGGGACCACAGGTACCACAAGGACATAACATTTAAACAAAATGGACTTGTTTTCAAATACTTTTTGGAAGATTTTAAGAAAAATATTTCTTCTGATTTAGATTCTCAACGTGGAGGAGAAAAGGGAAGTTCGCAAGGTTTCCTTTCACTGCAGTCCAATTATCGAAATGCATTGGGCTCCGAGTTCATACAAGGTACCAATTTTAATGTCAATTAACGCCGAGGAACTTATTTGGTGGAATGTGGCGCCCGTTATCAAGGAACCAATTCGAAGACAGAACCGAATGGGTCGCAGTATCAGTATGCAAAGTGTTCCTAGTCCAAGATCAAGCTTTAAGATGAAGAACAGTCAGAGCAATGAGAGCAAGTTAAGTATAGCGACTAGTGGTACGAATGGAATTGATAGCATGAATGTCAATAATAACAATAGTGGCATAAACATTAATGGAAAAAGCGTTAATGGTGATAAAATTAATGGCAAAGGTGTTAATGGTTCAAACCCTAGTGGTTCAGGTATGAATGGTGCAAACCTTAATGCCTCAAGTATTAATGGTTCAAACTTCAATGCTTCAAGTATTAATGGTTCAAACCTCCATGCTTCAAGCATTAATGGTTCCAACATTAATGGTACCAACCATAATGGTTCAAACCATAATGACTCAAGCATTAACGGTTCCAGCATTAATGGTTCCAGCATTAACGGCGATAATAATAATTTCACCAATACCAATGGTAAAAATACTGCCAATGGTATTGGTAACGGATGCCAATCGAGTAATAATAATGGAACTACACTCCAAAGAGTCGATTCAGCTAAATACTTTTGGGAATCGAAAGTAGAAAAAGTAGATAAATCTGCTATGCTATGTTTAGTTCCTTTGCCATCGGGTAACGCTAAGGTATGCGTTTCCGAAGATTTCAATAAATTTCTGACAGTAGACAATAATGGATACGTCAGTACATTCGAGCCATTTGGTATATTGGATATTATATAAAAAAAGAAATTTTATAAGCTACTCAGCATTTAATTCCTGAGAAGTAAAAAAAATCAATTGTGATATTCCAACAATTCTTTCTTAAAAAAAAAACAAATGATACAGACATCACAGAAGTCTGTTAAATCGAATCAAGTCTCTTGAGAACGAAAGTTTCTTGAAAACAAGAGGTTGACTTTAAATTAGTCAATTTTTGATAAAAAGATAATACAGTTTTTCGTAATATTTAGAAAATGTAGCTCAATTTAAAAAAAAAGAAATATTTACTTGTCAAATATTGTAGTCGCCTCTGTGAAAAATTAACAATTTTCGAGAAATTTGATTCATTTTTCATATATATTATATAAATAAAATCTTGATAATATAAATATATATTATACATACATATATATAATATTTATATAACAAAAAAACATATTATATATATAAAAATACGAAACGCATTCTTCTTTGGAAGATTTGTGAATTTTTTCGTATTTGTCAAAGAAAGTGTTATTGAATCGTTTTTTTTATTCAGAAAAAAATTGATACTAAGTTTAGGACAGGATAATTATTTTTTTTTTGAGAAAAGGAAAAAAAACGTGATTTGATCTTGTGATTAATTAATTAAATGGATAAAAAAGCGAATACTTGCTCAATTTTATAATGTAGGAAATATTACAATTTTCTATCCGCAAGTCATCAAGCACTGCCACAAGCATTTAAATGAAATAAGAATTTTTTTTTAATTAATTATAGAATCTCACAAGGTTAGAAAAAATATCTTTTCTCTATTTTGCATTTATATATATTTTTTACCACTCTTAAAACAGGAAACAAAACGAAAACAAGAAGTCATCTTGTTTTTGTATACGATCTCAAATAAAACCGATGACTGTTTTTTTTTATACGAACTTTTACAGACTAATATATAAATCTTTTTTTACACATCATATTAAAATAAAAAGGAGCAAATATTGCGTAATTAATTTTCATTTATAATCGAGAAAATTTTTCCTCTGTGCTATTTAGTTTGTGTCGCAATAAAAATGCGTTAACTGTGCTATAGAAATTTACGCAACTTTTTTATAAGAAAAAAATTGACTGTATGGTTATTATTACCATATTATGATTCTCAATTTGTATTTCTCTTTCAACTGTCCTAATGATACATTTGTAATCACGAATTGTCACGAATTTTTAAGTTGTAAAAAAATACCCCAATTGTAAAACGAATATTTTTCGTACTTAAAAATACGTTTTGCTATTAATAATATTCAGAAAGAAAGTGCCTTATAGGTAAATTTTTTACATTCCTATTTAAGATATTACGAATAAAAATGTAAAATTGAAAATTTTCAAAGAATTTTTCAAGATGAATATTTTCAAGACAAAGTTAAATTTGTTCATTTTTATATAAATACAAAATATTTTATCAGTTATAAATATTTGTTAATTTGATGTTACACAACATTATTCAATGTTATTTATTAATCAACATTGTCTTTAGAAATATTTCTCTTGACGAAATTCGTCACTATTCTGAGTCTGAGATTTCTTGCCATTACAAATATTATAAGTCATAGATTTATATCATACGTGTAATTTCATATATATTATATATAGATATATATTATAGAGGATAACTTTTTATAAATGTTTTTCAATAAATGTCTTTTAATAAATAAATAAAACTAAATAAAAATAAATGAATAAATAAGTAAATAAATAAATAAATATATGAATAACAATACACTACCATAATGTATTCAATCGAACAGGGTTCTCAGACACAGAAAAGTATGTTGAAGAATTTTCAATTTTTAGTAGTATTTTCTTTTTGTTTTTGGTGCTGTCGCTTTTTCCATTGAACGAATTCCCTGCATCAAAATTAACTTCTTTTTTGAATTACTTGGGGCAATATTTTTTTGGCATATCAAAAAAAAAAAAAAAACAACGAACAAACAAAACTAAAAAATTACAGAAATTAGATTAATTTTGAATTGTTTTGACAAGGAATTTGATCAGTGGATAAAAGAGAAAGAGTATCAAAGAATTATTTTTCAGTTGATAAAATGCATATTAAGCCATAGAATATTTTTTATGGCTCGATACAATTTGTATCTAAAAGTTGTGATATCTATGTTACCATTTCCATTGAAATACTAAATTTACAAATCAAAAAAAAAAATATCTAATTGATAATCAATTTCAAAATGTATGATTGTCAATTGATAAAAAAATGATTTATGAATTTTCTGCATTTGACTGCAGATGGAAACATAGTCTTTGGAGATTGCCAAATGATAAATGTGGTGCAATTTATCGAACAAAAATCTCTTTTTCAAAAAAAAAGAAAGAAAAAAACTTACAAACAAACTGATACATATTTTTTATCTCAACTATTTATATCAGTTTATTTGTAAACAAAAATTTTTGAAAAAACATAGAATTGGGAGAGTGTAATACTCGCGCAGTATAATATTTGATTTTTAAAGTATAAAATAATTAATTATGTAATTATATATATTTGTTCTTAACATACGTCGTATAATGTATTTTATATTAATTATATTATGTGAAGAATACAGAGGATAAGTGCTTCGACTTCCGCGATGTAATTTTCAACATATAAAAATCGTTGTTAGAAAAATATTTTTAGTAAAAAAGCATTTTTAGTAAAAAAAAAAGAATTTTTAGAAAAAAGCATTTTTAGAAAGAATCAATGTTAGAAAAATCATTTTTCGAAAATAATTAGAAAAATAACTAGAAAAATAATTTTTCAGTAAAAATCATTTAGAAAAATATTTTTTCTTTTTAAAACTATTTTATTGTTTACAAATTTTTATTGTTTAGAAAGAATTTTATTATAATTATAAAAAAAATTTATTTAAATTTTGACAAATTTTCGTTAAATTTGTCCTCACGGCATAATATTTAAATACATAAACAGAGAGTGAAAAAATGAAAGAACGAACAAATTTTGTCTCTCATTTTCGAGACTATAACTTTAAAGAATTTTAGAAAAATATTTTATCCTCTGCATTCCCTGTTAACCCACAGCTTCCAAATGTAATCTTTATAAATTAAGAGAAAAAAAAAAGTAACAATGTGTACTTTCTAAACCATTTTTACTCTGCCATTAAATTTAATTTATAGATGGCTCTTTTTTATCAAGCCAGCGTTTTTAATTTTTTATACATAATATATAAATAAAAAAAAAACAAGTGTATCTATCGACACAAATGTAATGTTGTTTTTCTTATAAACCTTATTCCTCAAAAACTGGTTTTTTAAATGTCACTCTAGAGGCTCGAGAGCTAAATATAAAATTCAATAGGAGAAACATTAATTTGAATTCAAATTATTGGGAAAAAAAAAATTTATTTGTGCGGAGACGCAAAAGAAACAAAAAATTGGGAAGAAGAAGCGAAAAATTAGGAAAAAGAAAAATGAATCAATATGCGTAAATTTAATTTCCGGAAGTAAAAAACAAAAAACTAAAATTAGAATACTACCGGGTCTTTCGTAAATAAAGACTTGGCACGTATATTAAATTCTTTGGTTTTGAACTTTAAAGTCAATGCCAACCAATGCCAATGTTACACTTTTATTCACTGATAAAATGAAATTTTTTGATTTGTTAATTGTTATCGTGAAAGTATTACGAGTTATCTCGAGTATTTTTTTTGACGAAAATTGCACACCTATCACCTGATAATGTTTATCGTATTTTCCCACTTGCAACTGACAACAAAGAATTACTAACGCTTTTCAAGACAACAAACTTATAAAGAATTAATTACTACCAACACATATATTTCAATCGTTTTCCAGATAAGCCACGATATTAATCAAAAACAAATGCATTTCAAATAGTCATAAAAATTTCAGATTAGAAAATTTTCAAATAGGTTCTTAAAAAAATATACTTTCTCCACGAGGGAGTACATCGAAAAAAAATTTATTTTATTCAAATAAATTTAATTTTGATTTCAAATAAATTTGACTATTATCAATTAAATATTTAAAATATTTTAAATCAAATAAATTTTTTTTCAGTGTAAAATTAATACATAATTTTACTAAGTTCTTTTATGAAATTTCCATAATTTTCTAAAAAATTTGTAATCAAAATAAATTCGTAAATAAAATTGTCTTCAAAATTCGAATCTCCGAAAAAAACTTTGAAATAACTAAGGTCAAAAAGGAAAATCAAACGAATTTTAAGAAATGGAAAACGTTGAAAAGAAATAAAATCGCCTTTTGAATCTCTAAATATTCTGTCATAAAAGATTTCAATAAAAATTCACGAAAATATTTAACTATAAATCAAATTGAAATGAATCAAACTAAAAATCAAACGAAATGAATAATAGAAGAAAAACTACCTCAAGATTACGGACCTGTCATGCAAGATCTACGGAAATCATGGCAAGAGGGGAACAACTAGCTTGAGGAAAGAGGAAACAAGTTGAAGTACGCCAGCGCAGTCACAATTTTTTAGTTGCAGTGCGCGGGTCGAATTTTGTAGAATTTTCATTGCTTTTTAATTAATTTTAAACAGCATAGAAATTAGAGAATTTTTTTTTCTTTCCTAATTTTATCTGACAAATAGAAATTTAACAAACAGAAAAAAAATCATGTCTCTCGTTTATAAAAATTCAATGAAAGCCTTAGGAAAATTTGTGCCAGGATCACTTCAGCCTTTGTGGAATCATCCAGCTGGTGAGTGGTGGAAAATGGCGTGACATGTGCTTTAATTTGTCGTCTGCTAAAATTTTTCTTTTCTTATTCTCTACGTACGAGAAAAAAAGGAAGACAATTTCTTGTTTCCGTTTCGAGACCTTGATAATCAGCGAAAGCCAAGCGGGTCAAGGTCACATGAGAGTAACACGTGTGTTAAGGTCACACACCATCATCCATGTCTTTTGTTATAAAAAAAAAATAACAATAATAACAGACTCGTCTTAAAAAAAGTTGACTATTTTTTTTAAATATATTTAGATTTCTGAATGGGAAATGTTTGATAATTTTCGATAACTTTTCTGTAACAATTAAACTATAAAAAATATTAACTAAAATAATATATTATAACAAAATAAGATAATTATTATTACAAAGTTATTATTATTATTTTTATTATTTTATAATTATTATTACAAAAAAACAAAGTTTTTTTCATTAAATTAAAAAAGGAAATTTTTGTCAAACTTTTTTTAGTCTCCAAGAAAGAGAATCGAGATTTAAATATTGTTTGGTATTCGGACTATTGAAAGCTGATTAATTTGCATTGTTAATTAGTTGAATACGTTACATTGCGATAGTAAAATTCAAAATTATAGAATATAATCTTGAAATAAAATTCTTAAAGCAGCAAAAAATGAGAATAATAAAATCTAATAATTGTTCGAGATAAAAAAAAAATTCGAATATGTAACAATTTTTTTTATTTTCAGGTCCACAAACGATTTTCTTCTGGGCACCGGCTTTTAAATGGGTTAGTTATGACATCTCTATTTTCACTCAACTTACACCTTGATTTCTTAATTGTATTTCTTGCAAAAATGTAAATCTTGCCAAGTATTTTCGAATGTGTTTATTCGCAAAAATTATATCAATCACAAAATTTACATAATATGAAAAATTCTAAAAGAAAAAGAAATTCTGATTCAAAGAAAATAAATTTTAGAAAAAAACTCAAATTTTTTCTTTATAGACTCCATTGAAATTTTTATTAAATAAATATTTTTTTAAATAAAAAATATAATAAACAAAAAGTTTTTAAATTAAAAAAAAATTGTAAAATAATGTAAATTATTATTTAAAAAATTCAAATACTTTCTTTTTGTAGATTTTTCAAACTTTTCATAAATTATGTAAATTATCTACAAACTTTTTACAAACTAAAGACATGTGAGAATAATAAAAATAAATATATCTCTGAAAAAAACAATAAATAATGCAAAATTTCCAAGATATAAAAATTATCAAAATTAGTACAAAAAATTCAAAAAATTTCATTGTTTCATTATTTTAAAAAAATTTTCTGTTATTTAGATTTTTTTCTAAAATTTCTTTCTTTGAATCACAATTTCTTTTTTTTTCTTTTGAAATTTTTAATATTATGTCAATTTTGTCTTTGATATAATTTTTTTCGAATAAATACATTGTTTTCATTTATAATTTAAAAATGTACTTTGAATAAATTGTACTGTAATTTTTAAGCTCCTACTTTAAATAAAATATAAAACTACAGCAAATGATATACGAACATTATGTAAATTTAAAATAACATTCTTTTATTAGCAACATGCAATAAGGAAGAAAATATATATACTGAGTGATCAATTTAATATTGGATCGTTTAAAAATTTTTTTTCTAATCATTTGTCATGTTTGATCAATGAAAAAAAAATTCAAGACAAAAATTGTTTTTAAATTTTGCTCCAGAATAATAATTAATTATAACAATAATCAAATTAAATAATTAATATTCGTTTTATTTAAATTAAACTGAAAAACATTGCCTAGTTTAATAATATAGTTTCTAGATCAATGAGTTAAAAAAAGAAAACCAATACTTTATAAACAAAGTAATCGCAGAGAAGATGTAAATGTCAGAACTTAAAGATCAATAAAAATCATGAATGATGAAAATTACAATTATAAGTGTTCGTGAAAAATAATGATAATTTTGTTTTTGTAATTTCTATTTAAACTGAAATTTAAAGAAAAAGGAAATAATTTCTTTTTAAATTATCATTAAAAAATTGTTTTCCAAATTGCTGATTGTAATAAAAATTAGAAACTCAAATTAAACATTTAGAAACATTAAAATTAATTTGTTTGATAAGTGCGACTGAAAATTATTTTAATAAATAATTTTTAACTAATAAAATAGTAATAAAATAGTTTCATATTTTTGAATTTTACAATTTATTACTTATTATCATTAAAAATATTTTTTCCAAATTGCTGATTGTAATAAAAATTAGAAACTCAAATTAAACATTTAGAATCTTTGTAATTCATTTTTTTTATAAGTAATTCAAAATTATTTTAAGAAAATTTGCATTTGAAAAAAAAGTTTTTTTTAACGTTTGAATTAAATTAAATTTGAACGCTTAGAACTTTAAAAACAGCAAAAAATTGTCTTTTTTAAATCATTTAATTTGAAAAATCTTTCTCAAAGAGTAATTTAATTAATCATGAATAAATTTATCAATTTAATTAAATCAACTAATTGAAAATTAATTAATAATATTTTTTAATAGTTAAATTATAAATTCTTAGTACTGGCATTAAATAAATGAGAAAAAGCGTAAAAATTAGATTCGGTAAAGCTAACGAGTCGCAAAATTTAGAAAATTAGTTTCGATTTACACAAAAAAATTACTTGAAAGTAATTTCCTTTTTTAATTTCGAAAAAAAAACTAAAATTCGTTGTTTTTTTACAGGGGCTTGTGATGGCTGGTCTAGGAGATCTAAATAGACCAGCGAGTCAAATATCTCTCGGCCAAACAGGGGCATTATGTGCAACGGGAATAATTTGGACACGATATTCCTTAGCAATTACACCAAAAAATTGGAGTTTATGTAGTGTTAACTTTTTCGTCGCGTGCACTGCACTATATCAAGTATTTAGAGCAGTAAAGTAAGTATAGTCGAATAATAAACAATTTTTTAAAAGAATATGCAACATTTAAAGCTAAAAATTATTATTACCAAAAAAAAAATACAAATTTCTACCATAATTTTAATAATAAATACATAATAAATATATTATTAAAAAATAAATAGATAAATACGATTATTCTTTTACAGATATCAAAGAGAGCAAGATGCGTTATTAGCATCCTCAACGAACGGGAAATGATAACAAGTTTCCAATAATAAAATAAGAACTCAAACAATTAGGAACCAATTAACTCAATTTTAGAAGAAAAAATCGAAGAGAGAAAAAATTTTTCTCGACGAAATGCTATAAACAGCATTGACAAATTAAATTTACAATTATGAATTAAGTTAGAAAATTATCAATTAACTTCCAAACATTCCCAGTATAGCAGAATTTTTAAATATTTTATTCTAGTTTGTAAATTAATGAGAAATTCTAGTTTTTTGTTGTATTGGGAGTTATGTAATTGTTATGCTTCGCATAATGTTACGTTTGCCTCGACAAATGTTACCTATAAGATGAAAGTTTCTGCTGGGAAGTGTTGCGTTAGTGAATTAAAAAAAAAATTGTAAAATATATTTTTTCGTAAGTACCTGTTACTCATTGTAAATGACAATTACTATGGGAGTGGAAAATTTTCAAGTGAGAGAAACAACTTCCATACTCTTTTCCGTAAGCAAATTATTTAGACAATTTTAATCGACTCAACAATTTAGAATTAAACAGAAACTGACGCTGGTTACGTGAAAAAATATTGTTAAATGAATTTTATCGAAATTAATATTAATTAAAAGAATTTATTGTATAATTCGAACAAAATATACGTATTTTTGTTACAAAAAGACAATTTTATTTATAGATATTCTTTTCACTGCAATTTCCATTAAATGTTAATTCGCATTATAATTATTTTAATTTTAAATACCATTTCAAAATATTTCTAAATTTAAAAAAATTTTAAAAGCTTGATAATTTCAAGCAAATACTTAATCAGAGACAAGAAGACTAGAGAGATTAGGATTTTTCGAAAAGATTAATTTTATTTAATATACCTCTAGTGTCAAAAGCGTGAAACTCAAACGTAAACAAGATTATAGGTTATGTATGACGTAAATACAAAAATATTGTCGTAAAGAGAAGTAAACTGTAAATAAATAAAATGTTCAGAAAATAATTATAAAATATGGAGGACAATATAGAAATTGATTTAACAGATTTCGAGGAGAGTTCACCTCCAAAAATATCTAAAAAAAGTTCTGTGAAAAATGATAAAACATCCGAGATTGTTAAAATAGACTTAACTGCTGATATTCCAAATACTAAAGAACCTAAAATTCCACAAAACGATATAGCCGAGGAAATATTGGGTGAAAAATCCGAATTTACTTGTTCTTTTAAATGTGAGTTTTCAAAATTAACTTTTTAAACATAAATTAGGGCAAAAGAGAAAACAAATATTTCCTTCATTTTCAGCCGCTTTTAGCAAATTGAAGCAATCGGAATTTTTCAGCACTGATCTACCACAAAGTTCACAAAGTACACAAAATGAAATAACAACCGGAGTTCCTAAAAATAAAGGTTCAAGTAGCTTGGACAATTTACTTATTAATCCAAAACAGGTATTAAATTTTGATTTTTTCTCATTGTAAGATAAAAAGAACACTAGGAAAAAAATTTCTTTTCTATTTTAGAGAGGAAATCCATTAATGAAATTCATAACAAACACTCCCTGGGAATATTCGGAAATTGTACCTGATTATGCAATTGGACGATCCACTTGTATATTGTTTCTATCGATAAGATATCATCAATTAAATCCTGATTACATTCACGATCGCCTTAAACAATTAGGCAAAGCCTATAATTTAAGAGTTCTCTTAGTTCAGGTAACTATTATTAATAACTATCATATAACTATTACTTAATTTTCATCAATTTAAAAAAAAATTTTTAATTTAAAGATAAATTAAAGAATATTTTCAGGGTGGTCACAAGTTTTAGTTTATCAATTTTTCTTACATTTCCCTGACAATTTACTGACATTAAAATTACTTTTGAGTAAAATTGAGTAAAATTTATGAATTTTAATAATTTCTAAAAATTACAATTATATTATTTCTACAATTTTCAACTAAACTTCATCTCTGAATCAATTAATTAGAAATAATTTTCCAAAAGTTCTTCTGGAATTCAATTAAATTTAAAAATAATTTTTGAAAGATAAATAGTTTTTCAATATTTAAAAAATTTCCAAGCAATTAAAATTTTGTAAAATCTTTTAAAAATAATTAAATTTTTGAAAAATATAAATAAAAAAGATCAAATTTTTTAAGAATTTTAATTACATATAAACAGGATCATGATTTCTCAAAAATTCTAATAAGTCCAAAAAGTAAATTTTTAAAAATTTTTATTTACATTGTTCAAAGATAATTCAATTTCTTAAAAGAATTTTTGTATAATTTAAAAAAACTAATTAATTTTTTAATGAATTTTAATTAAAAATTATGAACATGATTGTTTTCCCCAAAATGTTAAACATAATTCTAAAATGTTATTATTTTTTGTGTATGTATTTGAATTTTTGGAAATATGTAATTGAAAATACTGCAAATATTGAATTTAAAAAAATTAGAACCTAATATTCATTCATTTTCATTTTAAAATTTATACCTTTAAAGATTTTTTATTCTTCAAAAAAATTGATTTTCAAATTTTTATGCAAATTCTGATTTAAATAATTAAATTCCTGAGAAACTTTTATTATTCATGAAAAGAATTGAATTCTTACGAAGATTTTTACAAAAATTGTTTTAAATATTTAAATTCTGTTTGAAAATTTTATGAAAATAGTAGATATTGAAAATCATTATATTGCGAAAAGTTTTTCAAAATAATTAAATTTTACAAAGAATTTAATTAAAATGTGTGCCAATAATTAAATTCTTGCGAAAAATTTATTTGAATTTTTTTAAAATAATTGAATTTCCAAGAATAAATTTATTACTTTTAATAATAATTGAATTCTTGTGATAAATATTATTATCTATAAAAATAATTGAATTATTTAACCCAAAAAAATTAAATTCCTGAGAAGAATTTTATTGTTTATGAAAATAATCGAATTATTGCAGAAAATTTTGTTAAAATGTTTAAAAAGATTTGAATTTCTGTGAAAAGTTTTATTACTTTTGAAAATAATTGAATTCTCCATAAGAATTTTATAAACATTGTTTTAAATAATTAATTTTTCGAAATATAATAAATATTATGAAAATTTTATTTTTAATAATTGAAATCTTGTGGTAAACTTTATTTGTGGAAATAATTGAATTTTTTCATTAATTAATTTAAAATAGTATTAAAAATAATTGACTTTCTTCTATGAGTTTTATTATTTATGAAAATAATTGAATTCTTGTTTATAATTTTATCAAAAATTTTTTCCAAAAATTTAATTTCCATGAAAAATGTTATTATTAGGGAAAGTAATTGAATTACTGTGGAGAAATGTATAAAAGTTTTGTTAAATAATTGATTTTTTCGAAATTTTTTTGAAAATGCTATTCCAAATTAATTGAATTCTTGTGGAAATTTTATTGCTTATAAAAATAATTGAATTTTATCCATTTTTTAAAAATAATAATTGAATTCCTTTACGAAATGTTATGAAAATACTAGATATTGAAAATAATTATTGAATTTCGAATATTTTTTTAATCAAATCTATTTATACTACACAAAATTATAGGTGGATGTTGCAGAACCTCATCATTCTCTAAAACATTTGACGAGGATTTGCATTCTTGCCGATTTAACTTTAATGCTAGCCTGGAATGCGGAAGATGCTGGAAGAATCATAGAAACGTACAAAATATACGAGAAAAAACCTCCGGACATGATTATGGAAAAGAATGAAACCGGTGTACAGCAAAGAGTGAGAAATTCTAATTCATATTTAACACTGAAAAAATTCTAATGTTTTATTTTTAATTATAGTTTTAATTTTATTTTTACGTTCTAGTTAATAAATGCCCTGACGTCAATACGATCTGTAAACAAAACAGATGCCATGACTCTTTTAACGAATTTTGGATCAATATCTGAGATAGTTAAAACATCCGATAAAGCTTTGGGACTTTGTCCTGGAATTGGACCGCAAAAAGCAAAACGTATTCACAAAACAATTCACGAAACATTTCTACGAAGCGATACTTAATTTATTCAAAATGTAATAAAATATTTATTTTTCTATTGTTTGTACCGTAATAAAAATATGAAAAACATTTATCCAGAAAGAGCTAATTAATAATTAATTTCATGACCTTTTTGATAATTTAACAGAATCGTTGACATTATTTTAATAGAAAAATAACTCTCCATTCAATAATAAATATAAACCACCACGCAAGTGGAAACTATTTATAGTTTCACAATTTTGGAAAATCTATTTTCACAAAAAGTAATAATCTATAACAAAAGTAAAAGAAACGTAAATAAAAGAAAAATGTACTTTGTATTTACCAGAAATCAGGTGGAATCCCCCACCCCTGCTTTTGCGCAAAATTTCTCCGAAATCCGTTTTGATCGAATTTCTAGGCAACCGAATTTGGAAAATATAACAGATGCGTAAACTAACCCATCGGTTAATTAAATAAAGATCTGTTTAATAACATACTTTAGATAATCTAATTAGTCTGATTCGCATTAAAAAAACACTCGAAAAAAAGAAAAAACACATTAAAAATACCGACGAAAATTTGTCAAATTTAAACAAAATGGCGGACACGGTTCTAATAAGAAAAACCGCCAAAGTTAATCACTTTGGTTGAATCAAACCAGCACTGATTCAATTCATCGATTTTATATAATCACGATTTTTACACAATTATTCACGAAAAAACGGTTCACGAATCACGAATCTAGAGGAAAACAAACAAGTATTGTTGAAACATTTACAACAATAAAGCCGAAAAAGAGCATTCGAATCGACAAGAATCCGCCTATGTTCACTTTGCCGTTTACACATAAACGCATCTCGGCACTTTTTTTTCTCATGACACGTGTGAATATAAGTTAAAATACGCGAATTTAATCAAAAAGTCAAGAACTCCACGATAATTAAATGTTCTGTTTCACCCGCCAAATCGTAACTTTCCTCTATCGATGCCTTCGATATACTGCCGGCTCGGAACGACAAAATGGCGGACCTTCACTGCGGCGTTGCCAACTGAAGCAACGCTATTGGTCGAACTTCCCGCCAAAATTTGAAAACACAAAAAGTTATAATTTGAATATTTTAATAAATTGCATTGTTTCTGTATTAATTATAACAATAATCTAATTTAACAATACTTTTCTTCGAAATAAATAAAAAGATATTACACTAATAGAGAAATTAAAGAAAATGAAAAATTGTTTTCTATTAACAAAAATTTTTTTTATTAAATTAATGGAACAAAATGTTAATTATTTGTTCGATTTAAAGCAAAATATTTAGTTTTACGAAATTATTTAAAATATAATTACCAGTAAATTTAAATCTAACAATGATTAGCGGTATGAAGAGTGACCAATCAGCGACGTTCAGTTTGCGCAGCTCCCCCTACTCAGAAATTCGATTCGATATTTCGAGACCACTGTCGATATTTTTCAAAATTCGATATCTCGACGGAGCGGGAAAGTTTTAAATTTTTAAATTGCTAAACGGTTTAATTCTTGTTTTTTTGCAAATTTAATTTTAGAGAAAATTTTGTTTTTCTAAACAACTGTGATACTTAACTTTTGTTATTGACGGAATGTAATAATAATTATGTGTGTAAATTTCGTTGCCTCATTTCTTATCTAATTTTCATTGTCATTTTCATTTCAGAAAAAAAGTCTTTTCCAAACAATTTATAGCTAAGCATCATAAGTGTAAATTTATATTACGCTTATCTACGTTGTACATTTGTCACAAAAAAATTAAATAATGAATTTTATTGCAGTTCTAAATTTAAATTTAATAAATAATAATTATTACATATTAATTCTAATAATTAATTATTACAGTAATTAATTATTATTTCTAATTAATAATTATTGCAATAATTATTATTTCTAATTAATAATTATCACAATAATTGTTATTTGTAATTAATAATTATTGTAATAATTATCATTTCTAATTAATAATTATTGTAATAATTATCATTTGTAATTAATAATTAGTACAATTATTACCTATTATTTGTGATTAATAATTATTGCAATTAATTATTGAGAATTTACAATTAATAATAATTTTTAATTCGTGATAACTAGTAATTAATTAATAATAATCTATAAATATTAATTAATTATAATCTATAAATAATTGAATACTCAAATAAATTAATAAAGTAATAAATAAATTACAAATAATTATTATTTGCATTAAATAATTAATAATAATAATTTGTTTAATTGATTATAATTATTATTAGTATATTTTTTATAATTATTTAATTATTATTATTATTGATAATAATTTGTACATATGTATTTAATAATAATAATTAGGAATTAAATATAATAATTTATAAAATATTAACTTTTTTTTAAAATTTTTTATTATTAAAAATTCGTAATTAGAATAAATAAATTTTTTCTTTTTTTTTAAATTATTCAACGAGAGAATTTTGGCTTGATATAAAGTAATTGAGTTATCATTAACGACAATTAAGGGGGAAAAGTTAAAGAAATAAAATTATGACATTGATAACACCTGTTCATATAATAAATAAAAGATTATATTAAATAAATTGGCGCCTGTTGAGAAATTGACAAATCAAGCAGAATATTAGAGAAATTAATATAAGGTTATTAACTTTTGTTAATTGTGTACACAAGAAAAAATTATTTGTCACACGCTACTTTACGATTTATGGAAATATCTTTTTATAGTGGATTCTCAGTAAAGATATGCTATTTTCATTTCCATTGTTGTGCAATAATTCGCTAAATACGGAAATAGCTACTTGAAAACAATTATTAAAAATAAATAAATCTAATTTTCATGGTCGTTTTCAAAACTTTTATACGCGCCTTTCTTATTTTCTTTTCACGTGTAGAAAAAAAAATTTTACTCCGCATCAGTAATAATTGAAGATTTCGAAATTTATAGATACATTTCAAAAAACATAATTATAATATTAAAAAAATTGAAATAAAATTCTTTTCATAATATAAAATTGTGAAAAAATTTAATAATAATATTCAAATTTCACTGAACATTTATTGAAATTAATTAATTAATGATGTAATTAGCTGATTTATATTAACAAATTAATTATAAGTTTTACTTAATATTTTGTAATATTCTATTATTAAATTAAATACAGTAATTAATTAAATATAGTGAAATATTTAATTGAAAATAAAATTTTTTATTATAATTGAAAAAGAATTAAAATTTGCAAAAAAGATCGAAATTGTTAACTCTTCATTTGACTGCAATTGAAGATATTTTGGAAATTTCTTATTTTCCTAAAAAAGTCAGCAATTATTTTTTAAATACTAAATTAAATTATCAATCCAAGGTTTAATTAGAAGTTTAGAAGGGGAGGAAAAGTAAATTATAACTGATAAGCAACACTGATAAATAGTCTTATAAAATCTACATGATGAGAAATTTATTTTCATCATATTGTTAGTTGTAATGTAACAATAGTCGAGAATATATTGGTAAATTTTCATCTCAAATCAGTGAGTTTTGATTTTCCATTTGCTTTTGCTTTCTCTTCTGGAAAATCATTATTTTTTAATTTTTCTTTTTATTAAAAAAAATTTTTTCATTTTTTTGTTTTATTAATTATTAATTATTTTCTGAATGGAATTCTGATTATTCACATTTTCGAATAGGTACAAGAAGAATTACTTGAAATAATGATCGGAAACGTTGAATCATCCCCAAGTGGATTCAGTGAGCGATAAGACAATCGAAAATTTTACAAAATACAATTGTAATTTTTGGAAAATTCTTTTGGTAATTTTCTTCTCACCCTTTTCGTTAACAAATTTACTGTTTTTGAGTAAAGAAAATCATTTTCTAGTTGAAATGATATTATTCTAATAAATTTGTTAAAATTAATAGAAGTATTATTAAAATAATATTTCTTTTTTGAATGAAAATAATTGATTTAATAAATTCGTTCAAATTAATAGAAATATTAAAATAGAAAAAAAATAAATTAAACTTATTTTTAATTCTAATCGCCAAATTTCGATAAAAAATTGACACACTTTTTTTTCTCCTCTTTAATTTAATTTCGCTTTTAAATTTCATCAAAAAGGGAAATTACTATTCCTCCTGCTATTTACACAAGTGCCAAAATGACGGCTATTTAATTAACATTTTTTTTTCTGAAAAAAAGTAAACGAACCTAAAATGTTTGCCGATAAAGTAAAATGAATTAATTCTTTTCTTCTTGACTTTCAAAGTGTTTTTTTTTTCAGTTTTGTAAAAGTGATCATACGATAAACTATATAAGATAAAGAAAACAGAAGCAAATAAAAAGAATTTGTTTTTCCGAAATTTCTATTATTTTCTACAAGTATTTTTCATATGTTGGGAATAATAAATAATAGTGAAATATAGTCCTTAAAATTTCAGTTCATACTTTTTACAGTTTTGAAGAAATTTTTTTAAAGGAAAAATGGAAAAATCATACTCTAAAGAATGGCCACAATATATTGCAGCAATAACAGGTATTTACCAATTGCGATTAATTAGCTAAAAATATAAGATATCACTATTGACTTGAGAACAAAATATTTGCTTAGCCATTGATTGATTCGTTATATAAATTATCTTAATGTAATTTAATTTCACTTTTCATCTTTCGAAGTTTTTTGGTGATTTTCTTTTTTCTCTTCGATTACAGTTAAAATTTTTAAATCAATTCATTGAGATTAAATTTTAATATAAATTATTTTTTCCACAATTTTTTCATCTCTTTCAATTAATTTTTCAAAAATTTATTTTTATTTACTTTTTGGAAAACGAAAGCTGAGTTTATCGAATTTTGCTCATTTTTTTTATTTTAATTTCTTTTTAACTCAATATTGATATTAAATTAATGTTAATAATTTAAATAATTTAATTGTAGGTAATTATTATTTTACGGGACTTTCATTTAAGTTTAATTTAATTGATTTTTTACAGAAACAATTTTTTTTTAATTTCTCCGTTTAATAACATTTTTATGTAACTGAATTTTTAAATCCTAAATTAAAATTTAGAAATTTGTCTAAATAAAAATTCTATAAATTAAACGTTTGAATTAATAAAAATCCCATAAAACAACATTTCATTAAATTAATAATTATTTTTTTATTGATATTTAATTAATAATTAAATTAAATCATTCTAATTTAGATAACTATAACAGCGTTACCACAAAAATTTGAATTTGTTTTTTCCCGACTATTTCATGATTGCTAGACAGAATTTTAACTTTTTTCATGTTTCCTATAAAAACTTCAGGAATTTTCAATTTCCAAATTTTAATTTTCAATTCAAATTTAAAAATTCATTCAATTTCAATTATAAAAAGAAATAAAAACCCTAATTTTTAAAAGCAAAAATAAAATTTAAGACTTCCCTCCAATATTTTCAGATATTTCAGTAAAATTATTAAAAAATACAATTATTTTGAATCGAATTCTAGAAAGTAAAAATTCCTTAAAAATAAAATTTTTTTAAAATTTCTAATGTAATTTTTTTACAAATTTAATTGTTTTCAATTTGATTTCACAAAATTTGAATTAATTTGGAATTTGGAATAATTAATAATTTTGAAAATTAGTAATTTTATTATTTCTGAAAATTGCAATAGTTTTTAACTAAAATCTTCTTTAATTTAATCATAATTCATAAGATATAAACTTTAATAAAAAAGTTATTCTAGAATTAAATTATTTTCAGAAATAAGAAAAACCAGGGAATTATTTTTAAATTCATTCAGATTCAAAAATTTTTGAGATAAAAAAAATTCAATAATTCAAGATTTTAAAGATTTTTTAAAAATATTTTTGAACACCAAAAATCAAAATTTTTGTAGTTATTCTAGAAATTTGATATTTTTCTAGTATATTTGATAAAATTCACTAATCGTTTCCTAACTCTATAAATAATTTTCCTTTTTAAATGTTTTCAATTTTAAAATTAATGTACTGAAAATCATTGAATTCTTGCAAAGTATTTATAAAAAAAATTTGAAAATAAAATTGAATTCATTTTCAAGAATTTTATCAACATTCTTTTCAATTATTGAATTCTTTCGAGAAAATGTAATTAAAATTGAATTCAAAATAATTTAATTCTTGGCAAGATTTTTATTAAAATTCTTTAAAATAATTGAATTGTTTTGAAGAATTTAATTTAAATTTCTTGAAAATAATGAATTTTTAAAAAATAATTTTTACTGAAAATTTTGAAAGTAATTGAATTTTATGAAGATTTTCTTTTAAGTTTTTAAAATAATCGTGTTTATTATTAATTGTAATTAATAATTTTCCTAATAAATTGTCTTCAAATTATTCATAGAAAATTAAAATTCTTAAACAATTTTATTAGAGTTTTGTAAATAATTACATTTTTTAAAGAATTTAATTAAATTTCGTAAAAATAATGTAATTTTTAAAAATAATTTTAATAGAAAATTTTGAAAATAATTAAAATTTACAAAAAATTTTATTAATAACTTTTAAGAACAATTGAATTGTTTAGAAAAATTTTATTACAATTTTTAAAAATAATTGAACCTGTTAGAGAAGTTTTATTAAAATTATCTTTAATATAATTGAATTTTTTCCTAGAAATTTAATTAAAATTGTATTGAAAATACTTGAATTTCTTAAAAGAATTTTATTATTTACAAAAATAATTGAATTCTTGCCAAGAATTTTATCGGAATTGTTAAAAATAATTGAATTGTTTCGAAGAATTTTAACAGAATTGTTGAAAATAATTGAATTTTCATTAAAACTCTTAAAAATAATTGATTTTAAAAATTTTCTGTCGAGAAATTTTATTAAAATTGTATTAAAAAGAATTGAATTCCTCCGAAACATTTTACAATTCTTAAAAATAATTTAATTGTTTCGAAGAATTTTATCTGATTTTCTAAAAATAATTGAATTTTTTGAAGGAATTTTATTAAAAATCTTGAAAATATAATGATTTTTTTAAAAGAATTTTATCAAAATTGTTGAAAATGATTGAATTTATATTAAAATTCTTTAAAATAATCGAATTTAATTAATATTTTTGAAAATAATTGTATTTTTTTGAGAAATTTTATTAAAATTGTATTGAAAATAATTAAATTGCTCCAAAAAATATTATTTATGAGAATAATGAAATTCTTGCGAAAAATTTGATTAAAACTTTTAAATAATAATAAACGAGAATAAAAATATTTATTATGTACTTAATAAGTGAATTCTTTAAATTTTGAATCTGCAATCATTCAAAAATTGATGTTTATTCTTGAAAATGTAAAGTTTTTTAATTTATAAAATAATAATAAATGGAATACCGCGTTCCGCGCGCTGGCGCTCGTATCATTTGCTAGTTATTTATATTGATTAAGTAATTGGAATTATTTAAATTAATAAAATATTAAAATGAACAAAATAAATTTAAATTAAATGAAAGGAAAGAAATTGTGCACTAAATTAATTAAATAATCACAATTATTTAAATTAATTAAAGATTATACCGCAAGGATTTTAAACCAAAAAATTCGATTTGAATCTTTAAGAATTAATACTGTTTCTCTTTTTTCCCAAAAATAAGAACACTGCTCATTTGTAAATAAACAAATATTGCTTTTTTAAAGAAAATCTCTTTTTTCAGCGACATTTTCAATGGCGATATCAGGATCGCATATCGGTTGGACTTCACCAACACTACCAAATCTAAAAAGTGACGATTCCCATTTAAAAATCACGTCTGACGATGCATCATGGATCGCTTCATTCTATCTTTTGGGATCAATTCCCGGCAATATAATTGCTGGTCTCCTCGTCGATTGGCTCGGCAGAAAAACAAGTTTAATAGCAGCTGGTATACCACTTACTCTCGGCTGGATCCTCATCCTCATGGCCTGGAATCCATACGTCCTGTTTGCGTCGCGCTTCATCAGCGGCATTGGCCAGGGCATTGTCTACGTCATTTGTCCCATGTACATTGGAGAGATTGCCGACAAAAATATCCGCGGCTCATTGGGTTCGTTCATCAAATTAATGGTGACATTCGGCGAACTCTATGGACACGCAATTGGTCCATTTGTCTCGTACGGTGTTCTCGCCTACGCCTCAATAATAATTCCAATTATTTTCTTCGTCACATTTTCATTTATGCCCGAGTCGCCTTACTATCTACTAATGAAAAATCAACGATCAAAAGCCGAGAAAAGTTTAGCGTGGCTGAGAAGATATGAAAATGATGAGGACCTCAAGGAGGAAACTGATCAGATGCAGAAGACTGTAATTAAAGATCTGATGAATAAGGGTCATTTTTGGGATCTCTTTGACACGCCAGGCAATAGAAAAGCCGTTCTTGTTTCGTTTGGTCTTCAGTTTGTACTTCAGTTCAGTGGAATTGCTGCAATTGAAAGTTATACACAGGAAATATTCGATCAAAGTGGTTCGGAATTTTCGGCTGCGCAGGCGGTGATTCTTTTGAGTTTAGTGCAATTAATGGCTGGTTTAGCGGCCGCTGCGTTAGTTGATAAAATTGGAAGAATACCTCTGTTGATAACAACAACATTCCTCGCCGGCCTATCATTGGCGTTGAGTTCAATTTTCTATTTTCTCAAATTTCAAATGAATATCGATATGTCCGGATTGGGGACGATTCTCGTGGCTTTCGTTATATTTTACGAATTAATTATCGCACTCGGCTTAAATCCCCTTCCTTACATGATGCTCGGCGAATTATTTCCAACCAGTGTCAAGGGTTTCGCAGTATCAATCGCCAATGTTTGGGGCTCGTTTCTAGCATTCTTTGTCTCGAAACTCTATCAAGTTGTTGCTGATAATTGTGGTATTTACGCTTCCTTCGCCTGGTTCGCCACCAGTTGTTTCCTTGGATTAGTCTTCATCATTTTTTGCGTACCTGAAACAAAAGGAAAGTCACTTATGGAAATTCAAGAGGAACTCAATTGCGGCAAAAAGAAGAAAAAAATTGAAGAAACAATGAATGTCAGTACGATAGCTTAAAAATTCTTCGACAATCACGACTCAAAAATAATCAAGAGTCAATTCCTTTGATCTGAACAAAACAAAAACCCGATTGAAAATTAAAATTATTTCCTCAATTTGATTTTTCTTCTTGTGAACTGACAAAATTTTTCATTTCAATGAAATTGAAACGGAAATTTTTCATTTTAATTTCTAACGAAACGAAATTGAGTGGAAAATTGTTCCGTTTCAATAGAGTGACTATTTTTTTCCTCTTTTTTTTAACATAATGAGACGAGAAATAAAAAAAAAAGAAAATAGAATAAAAAAGGAATACCTTATCTAAATTTGTTAGATAAACCGGTAGTGCGCATGTTCTCATCTGGAGATTGATTTAAATTTACACGACGACAGGAGCACTAGTAGAAATATCCAATAGTTTTCAATTAAAATCTTCAATTAAGTACAAAATAGGAAAATGAAAATTTAATCAATAGATTATATGAAGCTTTTGTTAAATTTTCTCTGGTAAAAAAGAATTCGTTCTTCAACTGCAAAAAAAGAAAAAATAGTATTAATGCAGTCACAAATTTTTTCAATCGTAATTGAAATGAAAAATTTCCATAATTCAATTTATAACAATTTTCAAGTTAAAAAATTCGTTCATAAAATTAAAAAATCACAAAAATTGTAATTCAACAGGGTATTTAAAAAAAACCTCATTGAGACTGATATTTATTTCAATTATGAAGTATTTTCTTTATTTTTATTTATTAATTCCTTTTTCTATAGTGAAATGACAAATTCGATGAATTTTTATTAGTATTTGAATCGAATTCGAAATATGAAAAATAACAAATGCACAAGTTTAATTCTCTCGAATAAAAGAAAATGACAAATATTGTAAAAACAAAACAATTATTGTAAAAATTAATTATTTGAAACATAATTATTTCACTGCGAATATTTATGATTTATTGTACTTATCAACATCTTGTGTTCTCTTTTTTTTTAAATAAATGACTGATTTACTCGTAATAAAGATAAAATATTGTTTACGAAAATTTTAAAAATTCTTATTCATTACGTAAGATAAATACAATTTTTTGTTTTACTTTACTTCAAATCTTCTTTTTCTTATTACAAAAAATTCAATTTTATCATCTTATTAAAGAAAAACAAAATATCAAAGAAATTCTAAAAAAAACGCTCTTGCAGAGAAACGAGAGAAAAAAGTAAAATATTTAAAATAAAAGTGAGAAACCTCTGGCTGTAAATAAAAATGGTGCGAAAGTCGGAGATAAACTTTTTCTCTTCCTTGAAAGTATAGAACATTTGTTTCCGTCCAATATCCTTTTTCCTTTTCCCTCGCGACCTTTAAAGCAAAAAAAAAACATTTTAATTAAAATAAACCAAAATATTTCGGAGGAAAAAAATAAAAAAATATATAATAGATAAGAGAAGAAAAATAAATAATTTTTGTAGAGCATGAAAAATTAAAAAGGATAAAAAACAAAAAATAAAAAATAAAAAGTATAAAAAATATAAATTAAATGAAAACAGTATAAAAAATAGAAAACAAATAGTAGAAGGTATAAAAAATAACAAACGAATAAAAAAAATACAAAAATTGAAAAAAAAATTTCATTAGAAAAAAATCAATAAAATTAAATTTTAAATATATTAAAAATTTACCAGAGTTGTTAAAAAATATACTCACAGAATTGGACAACTAATGTGTATATTTTTCATGGTAATAACCGTTTTACATAAATGTTATTACAATATATAAACATAAATCTTAATAATTCACCCATTAACATGTTTTAAACTCCGCATTATTTTCAGTATTGCTCTGTTTTTAGGTTTCTTTTTCTCATCTGAATTTTGTATATTATAGTGTATTCTTGTGAAACTTACAATTAGGCGACATCACCCAATATGTACACAATGAAACATTCTCAAAAAATGAAAATATAATCTTCTTTTTCTGAAATTTTCGAAAAAATAAATTAATAAAACAATGCTAATAATAATGATAACAATAAAAATAATAGAAATACAAAAAATGATAAAAATAATAAAAATAGCCAAAATGATAAAAATGATAAAAATAATAAAAATAACAGAAATGATAAAAATAATAAAACTAATAAAAATAACAGAAATAACAAAAATGATAAAAATAATAAAAATAATAAAAATAATAAAAATAATGCAAATAATAGAAATAATAAAAAATAATCTAAATAATAATAGTAAGAAAAATAATTACTATTAGTATTCTCTAAAAAAAAATATTCACATTTTCACAATACAAAGTTTTTGTTTCGACGTTTTTCTAGAATTTTTATTTCTAGTTTGAATTGTTTGACTTAAGAAGCTAAAATATCCAAAATTGAATTCTAATTTGCCTTGATGAATAATATTAAAACAAAAGTAGAATTCAATTTTTTTGACAAGTTTTGTTTTATTTTATTTTTTTTAATATTATACGAATTTGTGAACAATTCCAGTTTCCCTTCTATAGGCCTTGAGCGATTTTTTTTTATTATAATTTTATTTTATTATGGAAAGGAAAACGACTTTAAAAATATTTGCGGCCACTTTATTTATTTATTTTTTTTTTAAATGAGAAATTGACACAATGTTAATTTAGTAAAAAACTGACGACGATGTATTCGATAAATATTCTACTTTTAATTAATTTTGCGAAGAATATAATTTTTTTTTATTAATGATTGTGCGGCGCAATAGCACTATTAATTTTCTTTTTCTTCCACAATTTTCCGAAATTATGTACTCAGTTCAGTTTTAATTTTTTAAGAGAATAAAAATTGCCAGAGAAATATTTTTTAAGCAAAAAATTTTTTTTTGATTATAGAGAATAAAATTTGAAATTTAAAATTTGATTATTAAAATTTAATATTTGTTTTTAAGGAAGAATATTATGTATAAATAAATTTTGCTTTATTGTCCGCAGATTTGGAATTTTTTTTCTGGTTTTGAAATACGATTTTCTATTTTTTTTTTTTATTTATTATTTACAATAAGATAATTGCTACAAAAGCAAAGCTTTTAGGCCAAATTGTAAAAATTCTTTTTTTTCCATAGAAAAAAAGGAGATTTTTATTCTAATTATATTTTAATAAAAAAGAGAACTCTAAAAGAAAATGTCTTAGTCTTTCTATAAAGAATAGAATTTTAAAGACTATTTTTTATGACGGATTATTGAAAATTGAAAAAAAATTTCGTAAATTTTTTTTTTAATTTTAATTTTTAATTCTTTTTGAATAATTTTCTTTTGGAATTCTTGTTAATAATAATTTTCCATTAATTTAATGATAGTCAGAAAATTATTTACGAAAAAAAGTCTGGCAGTTAATTCTGAAATTCGACGAAAAGGATTTAAAAATGAAATTAGGATTAATTTCTTATATCGTAACATCATTCTTCCGCTATGAGTAAAAACTAAAATTAAAATTATTAATATATATTATACTGTATATAATATTGCAATTATAACATTAATATATTTGTATATTACATAAATATGATTATATACATGTATAATATATATTTCATATTTTGAATCCTATTTGCAGGTCTTTGATTTGATATAGTAAAATTGTAATAAATTATTACAACCTTAGAAATATGTTTTTATATTAACAATTGACAACAACAATTCGCTTTCTGCGATTATTACTGTTATCTCTTCTAATTAAGATTTCTAAATGCTACTTAATTTTATTAACTGTGACACTTATGTAAAAGATCTCTTCTTCACTTGTTATTTTTTAAGGCTACAATACTTTTCCTCAAAAATTAACAGAAAAATTAATAATTGAATTAATAATGAATTAAAATAAAATAAATTAAAATTGAATTAATAATTCAATCACATTGACCCATAAAATATGTATAATAAATAAAAAAACGTAAAATTGTCAACAAAAATAAATACTAATTTAATCTCAAATTTCTATTTTATAAAATAGAAAAATTGTCCATGAATAATTTATACGTATTTAAAAACAAAATTTATATAAATCTTTAGTTTTTAAAATCTTAAACAAATTATTCGTTGTCGTATAACTTTTGGTTCACTTAGCTCTATTCGCAAAAAAATATGTTTCTAATTCTTTTTTTGTGTTTGAAAGTTTATCAATTCTCCAAATTAGATGAACTTTTTTATTCCTTGACGAAATTCACTTGAGGTAAAAATTGAAAAGAATTCAAAGAAATCTTTTCAACATTTTTACAGTAATGAAATTTTCTCTGCTATTTTTTTGGTCTACAGTATACGAAATTTTTTCTTCCGCAGAAATATTTTTTTTGGCACGTCAACTATTTTATTCTTTTATAATAGAATTTTAATTTCTCTCTCATTGTTTTCCTTTCAAACAAATAACGTCGTATTTCGAAGTTTACTTCGTATCGATACCAATGAACACAGTTACAGAGAAATTTTTACTTGAATTTAAAAGACGTAATTTGCGATAATAATCTTTACAATAATAATAATAATAAGAATAATAATAATAATAATATTTAGCAACAGTTTCAAAATTATCAACGACAACCTTGCAAAAAGATGTCAGTACATAATAAATCTGTCATTAAAATCGATCTCTCTTTTTAGAAACGCCATCAAGCAAAAATTTACACTATATTTATATTTATATTTATGCATATCGACTCAACGAAATATTTACACAGAGATCTATTCAGAGAACAAATTCTAACAATAAATTCTTCCAACAATTTATACAAATTACATTTCGATTTGAATAGTTTTCAATTCGTTCATTAAAAAACGAAGTTGAATAATTCTGAAATGTTTATCATCAGCCGTTTCGCATTCTCGCAAATATTTTGCCAAAATTAACAAATATTTCAGCAAAATAGTATTATATTTATAAAACACTTTTCTCCTCACAATCAATTTAATTCTCTTTCAATTTTTTTTTAAATCTTTGTTCTTTAATTCGCTTTTTATTTAATTTCAATTTTTTTGTTTTAAATCAAAATAATGAAAGTTCTACTACTTAATGAAAGTTTTCATTTCAATTTATAAATATAAAACACTTTTCTTCTCACAATCAATTTCCTTTAATTCTCTTTGAATTTAAAAAAAAATTATTTTCTCTCCTTCCATTTTTATTTATTTTTAATTCAATTTTTCAATATTTTTGTTTTAAATCAAAATAATGGAAATTTTTATTTCAATTTATAAATATAAAAAGAATTTTTTCCTCACAATCAATTTCTTTTAATTCTCTTTCAATTTTTAAAAATCTTTGTTCTTTAATTCACTTTATTTTCGACAATTTTTCAATTTTTTTGCTTTAATCCAATCAAAATTTTCATTTAGATTTCATTTTAATAATCAAAAATTGAATATAAATTTTTGATTTTGAATTAAAGAGAAATAAATAAAAATTTAAATAACAAAAAAAAAGTTGACTGGGAAAAGATTTTCTAACAAGAAAATATTTCGTTGCAGCTATAAATGTACTTTCAATTTCCCGTTGTGTTGACATTTTTCGGGTATGTTTGAAAGTTTTTAAAAGTTTAATGAAAATTGTATTTAGAAATCAACCATCTGACCTGAGAGAGAGTAATTCTCTTTTGGAACGTGTGTGATAAACGATGAGCATTAAAATTCGAGTTACTGGAAAAATCATCTCTTTTCTTCTTCCTCCTATTTTTAAAATGATGGTCCTTCTGGTGACGTTGTCGAATTTTCTTGCACCGATGAATCGTGATTCAAAGAATTCATCAAAGCTTCATTCTCTTTTCGTACTGTAACAGATATTAAAAGAAATATCAAAAAAAGGGGAAATTGTTTCGGAAAAATTCTCTCATCTAGACCATTAACACACAATGCAAAACATTTTTTTTTTATTCTAAGACAAAAAAAATAATGAAAAAATTAATAATTAATCTGCTATAAATTTATAAATTTAAATCAATTTATAAAATTTATAACATTCAGGAACAAATCTATAAATTTAAAAATAAATTCACCAAACTTATTGAATTATAAATTTATCAATAAATTTATCAGATTTGTTATAGTTTACATAATAATTATTATACACATTATTATATATTACATCTATGATAAATGTATATGTACATGAGAGGAAAGTGTAATAAAAAAAGAGAATTTGAAATTTCAAAGAAGAAGAATAATCAGAAGAAATCTTGAGATTTTTTTTTTCGAAATTTCTTGACCTATAACATCGATTCATATCCGTCTTCCTCTCAAGATTTCATTTGTAAAATCGATCACTTTAAAAACAAATTTCCGGATTTGAAAGGATTTTTTTTTCTAAAACAAAAGGTATTAAAACCATTCGTCAAATTGAATTTCTGAAAGAAGAAAAAGTTTTCAAAAGTTTCAGCGAAAAAGTGAAACTCAATTTAAGAAATCTCCTGAAAATATAGAGCACAAATAGTATGAAATAAATGATTCTGATCCGAAGAGATTTTCTAGAAAAATTCAAGAAGAAAAAAATGGAAAAAATAAAAAATCGAAAATATTATTTAAATACATAAAATATTTAATAAAAAATATTGGCTAAAAAATAAAAGAAAGAAAAATATTTCTTCGGAGAAAAAAATAAGACCAAATTATTTAGTAGAAAATTTTCAATTTGGGACACAATTTCAATTATGATAAAAATTTGGTCGAGACAATGAAATATTTGCAAAAATATCAGAAATGAAAAAATTGATTCGTCTTTTAATTTGAGAAAAAAATCTCTCCTCGGGAAATTCAAAAATGAATCAATTACATTTTAAAATAAAACAAAAAAAAATTTACACAAATTTAAACAATAAACGTAAAGAAAAGAGAAAAAAAAATCTAGTTTGAAAATTTTCGTTAAAAGTATATAGAAATGATTGAAAAATAGAACTCTTCTCCTCAATTATTATTAAATCGAAAAAAAATTGTGAAAGTGAATTTTCAATTTAGTGACAAAAAAAAATTGTTAACATTCTATAATATTAAAAAAGTGTTGAAAAAATTACTTTCATGATCTCGAAGTTTGTTTAATTCTTTAGGTGCCAAGGGAGGTATGTAGAAAGAGCTATGGGTTAAAGTGACCACCACTGCAAGGACGGATGCAATGAGTAAAAACATAAATGTTGCAACAACAATCATGGCAATCCTTCGATGCCTTCTGGCTTGTTGAATTTCCTCGGGCGTTTTTAATTCAATTGGCGGTACTTTGATTTCATCTCTGCTTGGTCGCACTGAATCTCGTCTATGTGCAGAACTGGCTCTTCGTCCATTACCTCTTTTGCATACACTGGCTCTTCTTCCATTGCCTGTTCATTGTTTTTTTTCATTTAATACTAAATTTTTTTTTAATTTTTTAATTTCTAATTTCCATATTTATCATTTTTTTTGTGTTATCTTTCTTAACATATTGTATTTACAAAGGAAAGTGCAAACTATTATGAATAAGTTTACAAATTTTTCGCATAATCTGAAAGATTTAAACTATCGAAAATTTTTGGAGAAGGATCAATTATTTTCTCTACTAGCAAATGATACGCTCGCGTAACGCGGTATTCCGTTTATTATTATTAATATAAATTCAATTATTTTCGACAATTTTTATGAAATTCCTCGGAAATTCTTATTTAAAACAAATCATTATTTTTAAAATTTTTAATAAAATTCCATCAAAAAACTCAATTATTTTCAAAAATTCAGATAAAATTCTTCGAAACAATTAAATTATTTTTATAAATTTTGTAAAATCCTCCGCAAAAAATTCAATTATTTTCATAAATAATAAAATGTTTCGAAGGAATTCAATTATTTTCAAAACAATTTTAATAAAATTTCCCGAAATAATATGTATAATTATTTTTAAAAATATTATTTAAATTTAAATATTTTCAAGAGTTTTAATAAAAATTCAATTATTTTCAACAATTCTGATAAAATTCTTCGAAAAAATTCAAGTATTTATATAAATTATAAAATTCTTTTTAAGAATTCAATTATTTTTGTAAATAATAAAATTCTTCTGAGAAATTCAATTATTTTCAATACACTAATTTTAATGAAATTTCTAGGAAAAAATTCAATTATATTTATAAATTCAGATAAAATTCTTCGAAACAATTCAATTATTTTCATAAATAATAAAATGTTTCGAAGGAATTCAATTATTTTCAATACAATTTTAATAAAATTTCTCGAAAGAATACAATTATATTTTAAAAATTATTTAAATTTAATTATATTCAAGAGTTTTAATAAAAATTCAATTATTTTCAACAATTCTGATAAAATTCTTCGAAACAATAATTCAAGTACCTATTTATATAAATTGTAAAATTGTTGGCAAGAATTCAATTATTTTTTCTAAATAATAAAATTCTTCTGAGAAATTCAATTATTTTCAATATAAATTTAATAAAATTTCTCGAAAGAATACCTACTATTATTTTTTAAAATATTATTTAAATTTAATTATTTTCAAGAGTTTTCAAAATTCAATTATTTTCAACAATTCTGATAAAATTCTTTGAAAAAATTCAAGTATTTATATAAATTATAAAATTCTTTTTAAGAATTCAATTATTTTTGTAAGTAATAAAATTTTTCGGAGGAATTCAATTATTTTCAATACAATCTTAATTAAATTTCTAGGAAAAAATTTAATTACATTGAAGATAATTTTAATACAATTTCTCTACCAGGTTCAATTATTTTTAAAAATTGCAATAAAATTTTTCTAAACAATTCAATTGTTCTTAAAAGTTTGTTATAAAATTCTTTGTAAATTTCAATTATTATTTTCAAAATTTTCAATTAAAATTATTTTTAAAAAATTACCTACATTATTTCTACGAAATTTAATGAAATTCTTTTTAAAAAAAATGTAATTATTTACAAAACTCTAATAAAATTGTTTAAGAATTTAATTCTCTATGAATAATTTCAATAAAATTTAATATGAATATTATTAATTACAATTAATAATAAAGTCGATTATTTTAAAAACTTAAAAGAAAATCTTCATAAAATTCAATTACTTTCAAATTTTTCAGTAAAAATGATAGTAAAAACTCCTATTATTGTCAAGAAAATTGAAATAAATTCTCCAAAACAATTTAATTATTTTAAAGAATTTAAATAAAAATTTTGCCAAAAATTAAATTATTTTCAAAACAATTTTAATTACATTTTCTCGAAAGAATTGAATTATTGAAAAAAATGTTGATAACATTCTTGAAATGAATTTAAATTTTTTGATAAATACTTTGCAAGAATTAAATGATGTTCGTTGTACATTAATTTTAAAATTGAAAACATTTAGAAAGGAAAATTATTTCAAAAGATAGAAAACAAAAGAGCAAATTGCAACACTAACTTTAAACTGCGAACAAATTACAGGAATACAACGATTATTAATAATATAGAAGATATATTTTTTTTTATTCTCTCCATAACCATTAATTATTTAACTTTATTAAAGTCTGTGGTTTTTCATTCTGTCCGTTCGCAGTATGAAGTTAGTTGTTAGTTATCATTTGCGAATTATTATCATGATTTTTTTGTTTGTTTATATTTTTCGTGATGTTTTGACATTTCCGATGTTATGTTATGCGGTAGTGCGGGTGTTTTTAAAAAACGTTAAATTGTGACAAGAATTATTGTGTTTGAAAAATCGTGGAAAAATATCTGGTATCAGGCGAGAGGTTACCGTTTTCAGTGGAAAAAAAACTGTAGATTGGTAAATTCTAATTATTAATTAAAATTTTCTTCTTAATTAAATCATTTATATTATTTCATTTTATTTTGTTAAATAAAAATCTCAAAATAACTTAAAAACAAATTTTATTCGTATATCTTATTATTATTATTATTATTTTTTTTTATTTATAATTATAATTGATAATATTTATTGTATTTTGATTTATTATTATTATTGAAAATTTTATGCATTTTTAAAATCTAAAAAAACTGAAATATCGAATTGTCAATAAAAGTTGTATTATTTTCAATTTTCAACGATTATTAATTTTAATTAAAAAATTCAATTTTCCTGAATCAATAAAAAATATCGTTCTAAATTTTATTACATTGGTCGTTTTCGTAAATTACTGTTCAATAATATTAATTATTCAAAATAATTAATTTTTTAATATTTAATTTTTAAAAATTTAATTAATCTTCAATTATTAACTTATACAGTGCAGGATCTAGAGTCTAAATTTTTTGGGAAGAGCGATCCCTTTAGTGTGTGCTTTTTTTGATTGCTATTATGAGTGATAATAGCTCCTGGTTCTTTTATGTTTAAAAAATTGTTCGAAATAATTAATTTTTCAAAAATGAAAAAAAAAATTCAATTGTTTCAAATTTTAATTAATTTTAAAAAAATGATTTTACACAAAAAATTTATTCATTTTTAAAAATAATTGCAATTCAAAATCTATTTGAATTTAGTATTTTAATAAATTACTTTTTTATTATGTTAAAAATAAATTGTTTTTTTTAAATATTTTATTAATTTTTTACAATATTTGAATTTTAAATAATTCAAAAGTCAATTATTAATTATTCAAAAATAAATCAAACAATTTTAATTAATTTAAAAATAAATTATTCTGTTTTTAATAAAAATTTAATTATTTTAAAATCATTGAAAAATGTAATTGTTCAAAATAATAATTAATTATTCAAATATCAAAAATACAATTAATTCAAAATTAAATTATTTCATTTTAAATAAAAAATTGAAATTAATTTATTGGCACTTACGTAAAAAATA